CCAGTGCCCTGCCTTCTTCCACCCTGGTGCCAGCCTCTGAGGGCTGCCCATCGGGAGGGTTGTTATGGTCACGGCATTGGGATTGGGATTGGGATAAGGGGGGCTGGTGGTCAGGCGGCCCTTGGCTGGGCGGCCCAGGTTGGCGGCTGGCTCAGGGGCCCCAGCCAGGGAGCCTCTGCGGAGAGTCTGGGCCCATTAGGCAAAGCGTTAGTGACAGGCTAGGAGGGCGGGCGGTGGCGGCGGGCAGGGCGGGGCCTGTAGCCCTTGGTATTTTCCGATCCCAGCTGCTCTGAGAGGGTGGAAAGTATTTGGGGACCAGGCTTGGGGGCGGTGGCGGTGGCGCCCCCGGCGGAAGCGGCCCATATTCATTCTTGGAACATGGGGTGGGGGGGTGACAAGATGCGTGCCTGTGTGTCTCATGCCTCCACGCCCTGTCTGCAGCGCATTCTCAGGCACACGTGCATCCATCTGTGCAGCCTGGGGCCTGCTTTGCTCCCCCGACCCAGGGCCCACCCTCCCCCCAACGCCTTCAGCTGCCAGGAGCTTGGCCCTCCCTGGACACCATCTCCTGTGAACCTGAGAGGCAAGCCATTGGGAACAGGAGCCCTGGCTCCTGGGCACCTGTGTGGCAGTGCCCCTTCCACGCAAGACCCAGGCCTTTTGTGCCTGTGAGGATGGGGAGTGGCCTTGGCCCCAGCCCGGGGCTCTGTGCAGGGGAAACCCCACAGGAAACGGGCCTGGCCAAATGGCCGCCCTTCCCGTTCTCGTCCCTGGGACATGATTGTGCTGTCTCACTTCCGGAGGAGGCCCAGGGAGGCCAGCCGCCCTTCAGGGCCTAGTCTGCTCCTGGTTGGTGCCCCCAGACCCTGAGGGGACAGGACTGGGCTAGGGCCTGATGGGAAAGGGGGTGGCCAGTGTATGTGTGTGTGTATGGGAGGATGGGGGGCAGAGCAGGACATCTCTTTCCACCTGTCTCCCAGTGGTGGGTGCCACCAGATCTGGGTGCTGGGATCCTACCTGTGTGTAGTGTCCTCATTTCCATCATCCTTCCTGTTTCTGTCTGGTTTGTGATGGCTTCGTAGCCCTGTCCTAATTACATGTAGCACTCATGGGATCCTTACCACCATAATTCCCCTGCTTTGCAGATGTGGAAATGGAGGCCCAGAGAGGTTAAGTGACTTGCCCAGTCACCCAGCTAGGAAGCTGCGGAGCTGGCATTCAAATCTGGCTGGCCTGGCTCCAACATTGGGGTCTCTTAGCCACAGAGCCCCGGTTACTGAACATAGGGCTGGTTTCACGCCCCACTCCTGCCTGGCAAAGGTCCTGGAGCTTGGTTTAAATGCTCTGTTGTCGATGTCTTGAAATTCTGAATTTCTGAACGAGGGCCCCATGTCTTCATTTTGCACTGAGCCTCCCCTCCCCCCAAATTGTGTAGGTGGTCCTGGTGCAGGGCACTTGCTGAAGGACATACACAACCTTGGTGAAACCTCACTGTGCTATGAGGTAGAGGCCCTTGGCTCCATTGTACAGATGGGAAACTGAGGCTTAGTGAGCATTTGGGAAACAGCTTTACACCTTGAGCCTGGTCCGGTGCTCCGGGGCATACGTGCCTAGCGTGGAGACCTGGGCACCCACTGTCAGCATCCGCTCCGGTGGGGCGCGGGCTGAGGCCTGGCTGCCGAGGAGACAGGACCAACGGGGGGGAGGCCCTGGTGGTTTCCTCCTGCCCTTCAGGCTTCTAGGAAGTGGCGCCAGCTGGGGTGAGATCACTTCCTCAACCGCCTTCCCGCCACCCCCTCGGCTTCCTCTCTCCATGGCCCCATTTAGCCTGCCCAGGGCTCAGTGGTGGTGATGGGTGGGGGTGGGAACAGGGCAGTAGGGGGGCATGGAGACCTGGCTCTAGGATTTCCTGTAGCCTCCCTGGCCCAAAAGGACCCTCTTAGCATCTCTTCCTTTCCAGGACTGGGACAGAAGGCATAACTCGGGTGGGGGTGTCCAGCCTGGTGGTCCAGCTCTCCCTTTAGCTGCTGGTTCACATGGGGAGAGGGTGTCCTTGGAAGGCTTCAGAGGACAGCAGCACTTGGGACCTGGAGGGCTGATGTCCTCAAATCTCATTACCTCCTTTGCTCTCTCCCCACCAGGTGCCAGCCACTGGCTCCGCCCAGTGCCCCCCCCAACCCTGTGCCATGGCCGGCTGGGGTTCCTGGGGATGGGATTTGCTGCCTGTCACAAATCACATTGCCAGGGATTTCCAACCGACCCTGAGCCCTTCTTCTGGGGCCATCACCACTGCCACCGAGGATGCTGCCCAGGGATGGGATGGCAGAAAGGCCCACCGCCACCTGCATCTGGCCTGGGGAGCAGCGCTTAGCTGCTTGTGAGCAGGGTCTGCACCAAGTCATGTTCACAGTGGCTAAGTTCCGCCCCCCGGGCCCTCACCTCCTCCAGCTCTGCAGCCTTTCCCTGCCGCCTCGCCCTCTCCTGCCTGTCTTGTTGCGGGGCCTCCCTGGGCTCTGCCTCCCGTGCCTACTGAGCTGAAACACAGTTGATTTGTGCAGACTGGCTCAGTTCAGCAGGAACAGGAGTCAAGCCCCCTCGGAGCCCGTGGCCCCTGCCTTCCCTGGGTGGGCTGATGCCTGAGATGAGGACCCAGATCTAGAGCTGTGTCTGGAGGAAGGACTTGGGGGAGGATGGGGCCAGGGATGGGGTGGGTGGACCTAGTTGCCTGCTGCAGGCCACCTCCCCCAACTCTGTGCTTGGCGACCCCACCACACACAGCCCTACCTCTAGCTGGGCTATGCTCCCAAGGACAGAAGGTGGGGCAAGGGGGTGGCCCTTCCAAAGGGAAGCCAGCTGTGTCCCTGCCTGGATGACCCTTTTGGGCCTAGAGCCTTGGCCCCTCCTCTTCCAAGCATGGTGAGGGCATGGACTGGGCCCCACCTTCCCAACAGCCAGTTACCCAAGAGGAAACTGCCTTGGGCCCCCAGACCGTTAAATGCCAACTCCAGGCTTCCGGAACCAGGCTGGTCTGACCTGAGCATGCCTGGCCCCTTTGCTCTGGGTTCTGCAGCTTCCTAACTTAGGTAGGGGAGGAGCTGTGACATCCCCCTGGCACATAGGGTGGGGACGAGGCCCTCAAAAAGACAAGCAGAATTGCTTAGTTCTGGGGTGGTCCCAGAGCACGGGAGAGCAGAGTGAAGCCCCCAGACTGTCAGAGCTGGCCCAGGTACCTCTTCCCCACCCAGGTCTGGGACAGACAAGCTTGGGTTAGTCTGTGCTGTATGTTGTGCTTGGTGTCCAATTAAATAAAAGCTGCCCGTACCTCATTCTTGAAGGTCTGGTGGTTTGTGATACACTCCTACCTCCCATCCCTGGAGTTCCGGCTTTTTGGGTGGGAAAGGTAGCTCCATTTCCCCCGGCACCCTGGGCTCCTGATCTCATTGGATCCCCATCCTTTCCCCACCTTTTCTAAGGAAGGCTGCAACTTAGTCACAGGTGCCTAAGGCATGGAAGTGACCTTGTGGGATGTCCTGGAGTTGGTGGAAGGGCCCCCCACCCTGAGGGAAACCCTGGACTGGAGGTAATGATTTTTGGGGGGCTGGTGTGACAGGGAAAGCTGTTCTGGGAGGGAGCTAGGTGGGGTCATGATGAGCAATGACCCATGCCCAGGGCCAAGGGGGAATGGAACCTAACCTCAGGTGGCGGTGGTTGGTGACCCTGAGGGAAACGCTGGATATCCATTCAGATTACTGAGACCTGAGGGCCTTGAGCTAGTAAGACGTGGATGTCACGCCTGGGTGAAGATTTGGGGTGCTTAGTATCCGAGAATACTTAGGCTTGAGGTGTGTGAGACGAGGGGGACATTTATGGATGACTTCGAGAACTGCAGGAGCACTGTAAGAGCCCCGTGTCCGAGGACGGCATTTAGAGGTAGCTGGGACCACAGGCCACTTCTACCCTCCCAGGCCGCCAGGCGGCGCTAAGGGGGGGAGCGCCGACGCTGACGGGTACGGGCCGCCCTCACATACCTGCGGGAACACGCGAGGCGGGGCAGGAGGTGGGGCCACCTCCAATTGGTCCCCTCGAACGCAGTGCGCAACGCTGTCGAAGCCCCACCCTCGGAGCCCTCAAGCGGTCTGCCCCGCCCAGCTTCTCCGGGAAACCTGTCCTCACCTACCCGGGCCCTGATGGTGACCCAGACAGTCCGTCAGTATCTAAAGGCAGGATGATCCCCAACAGGGGTCCGGTTTCTCGGGGAGCTAGGGAAGGAAGGCAGTCGAGGGCCTTCCCGTTTTACCCTAGACCTCTGTTTTGGCACTGGGAACCTCTTCTACAGTGGCGCCCAGACATGCCCGGATGGTGCCTTCATTGACCACGCCCACTGGCCTCTTTAGTTTCGGCCAGAGCTCCTCCCACCAAGGCCTTATCTAAGCCCTGGGTTCCTACCTTTGGGCAAGGTGTCTTCCTCACCCAGCACACGCCGACGCCCCCCTCACACCCACCTCAGCAACTTGGAGACAAGTACCCAACAGTGGGTGTCTGGAGCCAGTGCACCCCCTAGTGGCCAGTCCCAGCGGCTCGAGGGCCATGCAGCCTGGGGTGGGCAGTCCGTGGCCCCAGCAAGGTACTAAATAAAACAAGCTGTCTTTTCCTAAAATGGGTGCCCTTTCCTTAAACTCTGGAGCCCCAGTCTTGTCGTCTGGAAAATGGGAATGATCCTTCGGACTCTAGGTGTAAAATGACAGGTATAAAGCACTCAGCGCAGGGCTTGCTCATGGTGACCTTTTCACCCAGCATGCCATTATTTACCCTGTTGCCACTGGATGAAACCAGCAGTCACTTCCATTATGTCCCTCGCTTGAAGCGGTGTCCTCAGACAAGGCTAGAGATTTTCTATGGAGGGAAAATGGAGGGGCCCTGTCTGGGCGCAGGGGCATACACCTCAGTCTCAAAATAAAAAAGCTGTGCTCAATCTTTAAAAAACAAAAACAAAAAGGAAATACAATATACAGTTCAATAAATAGAAAAAAAAGTTACAAAACGATGTGATCTTTTGTCCTTAATTACAAGGGAAAAAAATAGAGGGGGTGGGAAGGACAAGGAGAGACAGCAGCTGGGACTTAAGAGATGCAAATAGAAAGTCAGGTTAAATGGAGAGAAATATGGAGAGTAAGGTGAAGGGGCAGAGCAGGGTGACAGAGAAGGGGAGGGTCAAGCAGAGGCAGAAAATGCCCAGATGCCAGCCTCTTTCCAGACTTGGGGCAGGGGTCCCTGGCTCACCTGTGCTCATCTCCCCTGACACCAGGTTTGGAGGACAGTGTGAGCCTGGCTTGGTTCCTGAGTTGTATGTCCAGTGACTAGCAGGTAGGAGGAGGGACAGCAATGACAACACCCCCCATCCCCCCAGCCCGCCCTGAGACCCTTGGCACCCACAGGAATAGGAGTCTGGGCTGGATGGTGGGTGAGGTATGTGGCCGAGGCCTTAGGCCTCTTCAAATCCTTCAGTGGGGGTGAGTCATTGGTTCCAGCTGGACAGCCTGGAAGGGGTGCAGCGCTGTGGAAGGGGGCCCCTGAGGCAGTGAGAGGAGGCTACAAAAGGAGATTCGGATATCCTAACAAGTCCCCTGGGCTACCCAGAATAGGGTGCGGGGAGGGTCTGCTACATTGACTTTAGAGAGCTAGTTTCAGGAAAAGTCCTGCCTCCTTGCTCCCCCAGAGCTCACAGCAGGCCTGTGAATTTGGAGAGGAGTAGCTTGCCTATTGCTTTCCAAGTGCCCAAGGCAGGGTCATACCAGCTACCCAAGCACACACCCCCTTCCAGGCCTCTGGGTGGTGGTATGGCTTCTGATCCTCACGTCTTGCACACTCCTAGGCACACATGTGGCAGGATGTACCTTCCCCCCAATCCAGGTGGGCTTGCAGGGATTGCAGGCAAGACCACCTACCTCCAGCTGGGCTCCTTCCCTGACTTAATACTGAGATGCCACATGGGCCTCCAGTCCAGGCCCCTCCCTGATGGAGAGTGTGTGCCACAGAGGCAGGGGCAAAGGGGGAACCCTTCCACCACCTGCCTTCCGTCCCTCAGCCAAAACGTTCCCGCACCAACAGCATGAGCTTCTTCTTGCCCTTGTAGGTCTGTTTGAGGTTTTCCAAGAACTGGGCAAACTGAAGGTGCCCATCGGGCGCCAGCAGGAAGGTCTCTCGGGCCTTGCCCAGGAACTCGATGAAGTCGCCATAGTGCCGTGGGCTGATGTGCGTGAGGCGGGAGTGGCTGGTGTTGATGTAGGCTGCCACCGCGGCATCTAGGAGCTGGCAAAGCGGCGCGCGGTCGGTGCCCAGTGGCTTGGCTGCGCGGCGCGCCCCCAGAGGACCCAGGCCAGGTGCCGAGAGGGTCCAGCGGCGCAGGATGTCGGAGAGCATGGGGGCACAGTGGATGCTCCGGATGATGAGAGGGACGATGGCAGAGAGCTCATGCCGGCCTAGGGAGTGGCTGAGGGAGCAGGCCCAGAGCACATCGTTGACGGCGGGGTGGCTGTCCTGGTTGAAGGCGATGCTGAGCTGCGCCAGGGCCAGCGTGGCCAGCTTGTAGGCCCGCAGCGGCAGGCCGCGGTGCTCCATGTAGCGGGCCACGGTGAAGAGGTGGGCGTGGCCCAGGCCGCCCGCAGCGGCATCCAGCACAATCTGATAGGCTGCCTCGAAGGCCGCATGGTTCTTCTCACACAGGGTGAGGGCGGGCAAGGTGCAGTTCTGTGGGTCTTTCATGGCGCACTGCAAGGCCAGGGTGCGAGCGCAGGCCCAGAGCTCCTCCCGACGGGGCGCGTCCAGCTGCAGCCGCAACAGTGTGGCATGAGTGGTGCCTGTCACTGCCACGATGGTGGCTGCCTCCACGGGTGTGAATAAGGAGTACCAGTTTTGCATGATGTTCATCAGGGCTTGTGGGCCTAAGGGACATGAGAGGGTGAGACTGGTCAGGAAGAGGGGCAGGGATGTGGACGTGTTTCCATGGGTTTACCCTAACACGGAGATTCCCAGCAGCCAGAGCTGAAGGCACACCCCCTTTGCCTCCACCCCCTGCTTTACCCTTCCAAAGGAGCGGGGGCAGAGGGATTAGGTAGGAACTACAAGTGCATAGGGGTGGGGGGTGGGGGGCAAGCTTTGGTGCCATTGGCCCTTCTCCAAGCCACTTTAGGCTGGCCAGCTTCCAGGCTTTTGTTCAGCTCAGTGCCCCTGCCGGACAGTCCCTCATGGCCTAGCCTTGAGCACAGGCTGGAGCCAGAGAAAAGTCTGCTTCTCTCCTGTGCCCGCCTGGTTCCACAGGGAGATGGGTTGGCGGGTCCCTTTGGGAGCTCTCACCAATCTCTGTGGCACAGCTGACCAGCCAGCGCACCATCTCCCTCCGCCTCCAGGTCATAGTACTCAGGGTCATCCGCATCACCTGCAGTGTGGGCGAGGGGAGAGAAGGGGGTCACTCAAAATCTTGGGCTGGCAGAGGGAAGGGGGTCAGGGATCTTGAGGGGCCCAGGGAGACTTGGAAGTCGGGGGAGGAGTCAATGGGCCATATAATAATCTGGTCAAGAGGCCTCACATCTCAGGGCCTCAGTTTCCTCATCTGTAAAATGGGGATAAAAAGCGTATCTACTTCATAAGGTTATGAGAATTAAAATTATGTAGTAAAGCTCTCTGCACAGCACCTGTTGCCTCCAAGTGTTCAGCTAACATCAGCCATTACTACTACTGCTACTGTTGGTATTATTCTGAGGCCTCATGGATTCTACTCTGGACAAGTGAACCCATCCCTTCTCTCCATAAAGTTCCATGCTTCATGTCAGCCGATTTCCTCCTGTAGTCCCCAACAGAGCACCTGCCCTACAGGCCCCACCTTCTTCAGGTCCCACCCTCAATAAGCACTTTCCTTGCTTGCATCTCCCCCTACTCCCCATCCTTAGTCCTATCTGGTGGACCCTGCCTTCTGGAAGCTCCTCTCTAAAGCTCTGCCCTTGTCCTGCCCCCTCCACATTCAATGGCTCCAGCTCCCACAGGAAGTTGTTTTGGCTAATTCTGCCCCTGAAGGCCCCTTGCTTGTTAGTTCTACCTGGGAAGTTGCCACCCTAGCCTGCAAGCCAGTCCCAGGCTGTTCTTTATTGTCTTATTTTACTTAGGCCACCGTCTGAGGACCCGTCCCCTCTACATCCCACACTCTGCAGTTGGTTCCTCACCTACAGGCTGAACCTCTGCCTTGCCCTTCCAAGACGACACTCATCCATAGGCCCCGCCTCCATGACTTAAAACCAGACTCCACTCCCAGAGCCGGCTCATTACCTTCAGAACCCTGCCCCAAGCCCCGCCCCTCAGTGGTGACCGCTCCCACTACAGGCCCTGCCTCCAAGAAAGCTCCTAATTGGCAGACTTTGTCCCCCTCAGCTTCAGTCCCGCCCAGCTGTGGTCCTTAACCATAAGCACACCAGTCCCAATCCCCACCATCAAGGCCAGAACCCCTAGGTTGTGCTACTTTTTGTGGCCCACTCTCACCTGCAAGCTCCAAGACCCTCTTCCTTCTCTTCAGCTCACCCCCAGAGGTGGATTCTCACCTTCATTCTCTGCCAATGAGTCCCTCATTCATAGGCCCACCCCCAATGACAACCTTTCCATCTTCCAAGGACTTACACTCTGCCTCTGTGGCCCTGCTCAGAGGTGCCACTCACACTCAGGCCCTGCCCACAGGCAGCATTCCCCCTCCCCCATCCTCCTCCAGGCCCTCACCTGCAGGCCCAGCTCCAGGGCAATGCCCAGGAGGGTGGTGTCTGGTGGTGCGCTGGCAGGGGTGGCCGTCTTGCAGGCATCCTGTGCCAGCTTGAAGAGCAGGGATGGAGAGTGGATATTCTGCTGGATGGAGCCCAATACCATGTGCAGCCACTTAGGGTCTCCTGGGGTTGGGGGAGGGACAGAGGCACTGTTGGTACACCAAGCACCAGCTCTTGTCACTGCCCAACCTATTCATGCAGGTTCCTACACATAGGTACACAGGTGTGAGCATGGAGGGACATGAACCTCGAAGATTCTGTGAAGATCCAGACAACTCTCGGCACTCCCACCCTTGTTCTCGCCTCTGCCCTCCCCCACCCCCAGTTGGAAGAAGCCACTTAGGGAAGAACAAGGAAGAAGCCACTGGATGCCTAATCATCAAAGGTGTGGATTCTGGAGCCAGACTGCCAAGGTTCAAATCCTTGCCTTGTCACTCACTAGTTGTGTGACCCTCAGCAAGTCACTTTACCTCTCTGTGCTTAGCTGCCCCATCTGTGCAATGGGCAATACTAATACAATGGTCCCTGCCTCACAGGGCTGTGGAGAGTCCACACTAGTAAAGTCTTTAGCATGGCAAAAGCTACACAAACGTTAGCTTTTATCACTATTATCATTGATCCAGATCTGACAATTCTCCCATCATTCTGATCTAGCCACACCAGCCTCCTCTGTTCCTTAAACATACTAGGCACAGTCCAGCCTCAGGGCCTTTGCATTGGCTCAGTGTGATGGGTGTTTAGAGATGGGTTTTTGGGAAGCAATTAGGTTTAGAGGAAGTCATGAGGATGGGGCCTCCTTGATGGGATTAGTGCCCTTATAAAAAGAGGAGAAATCAGAGCTTTCTCTTTCTCTGCCATGTGAGGACATAGCGAAAAGGCTGTTGTCTGCATGATAGAATAGCGTCCTCACAAGGAACTAATCATGCTGGCACCCTGATCTTAGACTTCCAGCCTTCAAAACTGTGAGAAAATAAATTTCTGTTGTTTAAGCTACCCGGTCTGTGGTATTTTGTGACAGCAAACCAGGATAAGACACAGATATTGGCATGGCTCTTCCTGCACCTACATGTCTTAGCTGGAATGTCAAACTGCTTTATCCCCTCTGTTGTACTTCCTTCCTTCTCACTCACTGTGTTACTATCTCCTTTACCTTGTTTATTGTCTGCCCCCACTAAAATGTAACAAACACCACAGGGAACAGGATTTGGGTCAGTTTTGCTTACTGTAGCATTCCTAGCACCTGCCACAGTGCCTGGTCCACCTAGAAAGTGCTCCAGGAAAACTGATGAAATTTGATAGAAGGACAAAAATGAGGTGGACAAAGGAGGAAGAAGAAGGCAGTGGAGGACAGGGGCAGCACGGTCCTCACCCTTGGCAGCAGTCAGCATGGCAGAGGCCAGCTCGCACTGGCGGGTCTCCAGGTGACCCAGGATGAACCAGCGGGGGAAGCGGTTATTCATGACGGAGTCCAGTGGGTTGGGGTGGGGCTCTCCAGCCGGAAGTGCTGTCTCCAGTACAGGCAGCCTGAGGTGAAGAAAGAAGCAAGCCTGCAGTGAGGCAAGGCTAGAGTCTCCATCCTCTCTAGGAGAGAGAGGCCTCCTGCCTCAGCCAGAGCCTCCCACCTCGGGCCAGCAAAGCCCTAAGCACCAGTAAGACGGAGGATGTGTGTGTAAGAGGTTCACTGCAGTGTTGTTTATGCCCATCACTCGAAGGTTGATTAAATAAACAATGCTCTAGTCATATACTAAAGGCCATGTGGCTGATAAAAAGATGACGGGATTATTTCTGTCCTGTGAGGACCTTAAAAAATTGTGCTTCTGCAATCTGCTGGTGCACATATGAAATGATAACAAGGTAGTTCATTGTAATTTTTTTTTTTAAATAGCAGAAATGTCTATCAGCTCCACATCAGTTCTTTTATGATGCATCCTTACAGTGGTCCATAGGCTATGTGATACAACGAAGCTTTTAAGATGCAATGTTCAGTGAAAACAAGGTGCAAAGAACAGGTACAGGATGTACCATCCATGGTAAAGGAGGGCAAACTTTTAACTTCCAGATGACAGGTTTGCAGACAAGATAAGAAAGGGGGAACGCTGCTTGCCTCCAGAGAGATTTGGGTAGGTTGGGACAAACCAGCCTAGAAAAGTACTCTAACTTTTGTGCCATTTGGATGGCTCTCAGATTCAAAATATTACATATTTATATATATGTTTTTGAACGCCATGATAATTTTAAAAAATTGTACCACACTGATCATAACGACCAGCATACACATTATGATGGCTTTTCTCGTCTGTTAACATTGAAGTAGTTTTGTATCCTGAAATGTTTCAATAGGACAAAGAATGTTAGAGAAATTATACATTTCATATGTAACAGTCAAGGGCACAGGGCAGCCTGGAATGCCAGCATGAAGGAAACTGAATTAACCAGCTGTGAGTTCAGGAGAGAGGATGGAGTTGTGAGAGCACCTCCCACTCCCCCATCCTGAGTCCCCAGCTATCTGCCTGTCTTTACCTCATGGCTCTCAATGCAAGGCGGTAGGCCAGGTCCGGGTCGTGGGGTAGCAGTGCAGTGAACAGGTAGCAGGCACAGGTGTGCATGGGCACGCTCTCCCGGAACAGCACCTCTCCAAAGCCGCTGAAGGGACCCCCTGTGGGGTCAGTCTGAGCTCAGTCCCCAGGTGTGGGCTTGCTTCTGTGTTTCTGCCCCTCCCTGGGTTTCCCTAGTCCTCAGGCTGAATAGGGGATGGGCAGACCCCAGAATAGAGTGGCTAGGAATAGGAGCTGGAGAGGCCCCCAGCATGGGGGCACAAGGCTGAGACAGAAAAGCCAAGTAAAATCTTAAAAGAGAAGACCTTGGGCAACCCTGGGTTGGGGACAGGACTCAGATGCAAGATTAGGCCAGAGGGTGGGGGTGAGGCTGCACCTGACCAGGGTCGGGGCCAAGCTATCTTCCTGGCCACAGTAGGGGGCACGGCCTCATGAGGCAGGACCATGGGCAGAACCAATCAAGTCCAACTGGGCATCAGCGACTAGGCTCATTGGCTCCAAGCTGGGCAGGGGGCGGGGCCTCACCATTCCCAGCAGTTATTGGCTGCCAGAAGAGATAGGGGGCGGAACCAAGGGCTGGATCTCTCTTTTTAGGAAATGCTAAGGTAAAGACCAAAAGGTGGAGCTAGGGCTGGAACCTCTTGATGCAGCAGCAATCTGACCAGCTCAGGCAAGGGGTAGGACCCTTTCTTTCAGAACAGCCAGGCCTAGGACGGGGCCTCACCTTCCAGGAGCAGCCCTGCCTGCTTGCGCAGCACCTGCACCAGCCGCTCATCAAGCTCCACTTCCTCCAGCAGCGCCAGCAACTGCTCCTCATTGCGCACCACTTTGTCTTGGGCGTACAACCCCTCGGGCAGGGCCCGCTGCTGTCCCAGGCCCAACAGTGTCACCTCGAGTGCCAGCGCCAAGTACGACTCCCCAGGGCTCCCGGGCACCGGAACGTGCTGGTAGGCCACCTTCCGCTTCTCAGGGCCTGAGTCTGTGGGAGATGGGAACCAAAGATACTAGAGGGGGATTCCCTTTTCCAGGACCTCAATGGTCCTTGACCCCAAGCATGCAGACCTTCTGGTAGTAGATGGGCCTATGATGACCTCACTTTCAGAAGTTAAGCCTATTGGCTCCTGGCATGGGGGTGGAGCATGGCAAGGGTAAGGGTGTAGCTTCACTTTCTAGGGAGGCTGAGCCAGGGGGCTTGGCTAAGGGGTCCCCAATGTGGGTACCTGGGTAAAGGGCGAGCGTTTCCTCCTCCAGGCGACAGGCCTCCAGGAGAGCCCTGCAGAGGCAGCCAATGGGGTCCAAGGGGTGGCCCACCCATCCTTCAGTGTTGGTGATACAGGTGGAGCCTTTCTGTAGCAGCTCTGCAAGTGGGAAGTAGGGCTCAATGCCTGCCCACCCTCCCAAGCTCCGAGGGGGACTTCATTTCCCTGATCCCCCAGCCCAGCCTCCCAGGACCTGCCCACCCAGAGGCTATCTTCTCTGTCCCTGGAGCTCTGCAGTAGCTCTCACCTCTACAGCCCTGGACTCCAGTCCCGTGGATACATCCAGCCTGGCAGGACACCAGGAGGAAACTGAGCACTTTCTAAAATCTCCAACCAGTGTCATTCCCTCCTCATGACCCTTAATCCTGCCCACCTCTCTCAAGTCCAACCAGCTTTCAGGGCCCCAGGGTGGTCAACTGCCCCATCTGGCTGTCCATCTTCTAATCTCCTCCCATAAGCTATGTTCTCTCTTGCCTCTGGGCTCCTGCCCATGCTATTCCTTTTACCTGGAACACTGTTCTTCCCTCCCCTTCTTCTGGGAAACTCCCTATACATCCTTAAGATCTCCATTTTGGTCTCACCTCCAATGGAAGCGCTTTCCCTATGCCTCCAGACTGGGTCAGCGCTCTGGTTTGGTCTCAGAACCCTCACTTTTCCTCCCATTACAAGCTGTGTTCAATTTCCTGATAACTGGCCCATCAGCCCAACCCCATCACCCAGAGAACATGACTGGTGGCCTCCTCCCTGAACCCCATATCTAGTCCATAGACATGTTCTTTCTGGGGTCCATATAGTGTGATTTTTTTTCCTAATACAATTTGAATTTGTTGCCCATGTTTAAAAATGAGTAAATTCCCCATCAAATAATCCAGATTTCTGGCCTCTCTTAAATATACAGAATATCTTGGCCCACTGCATCCAGGTTGCCATGTGGTTGGCACCCCACATTCTGCAGGGGCTGGAAGCTTAGAAACTATATTTCCCAGACTCCTTTGTGTGAACTATGGGAGGTGGGAGACAGTGAAGCCGTTCTTCTCCTGCAGCAGCAGTTATCAGGTATGTGGCTGTCTACAAGGCACAGCCATGAGGTTTTACCAGCAGCTTCTGGGTATACTCTTGGGAACCGCCCCTGTGGAGGCCACAGGCTGCTGGGCTTCTGAAGTTCGAGTTCTTGAACTCAAGCAGCAGCTTCCCGGATTTTCAATCCTGCAGCCCTTCCAGTGGTTTTGTGAGCCCTCAATCCCCTGTATTAAATTCCTTTCTATTCAAGACGCCGAGAGTGGTAGGTACCCACAGACCTCTTGGGTTGTCACAGCCACCAGTAGATGGAATCTCTTCCTACAGCCCCCAGGACCCGATGATAACAGTGGTGCCCACCTTTTTTCTGCTGCTTGTAGCTCTCAAGCTGATGCCGCCGCTGTAGCCGGAGCGTGTTGACTATGGCACCTGCTAGTCGCAAGGCCTGGCGGGGATATCCGTGGGCACGCAGGGTGTCCACACGGGCACAAGCGGTGGGGAATGGCTCCCCAAGCCAGAGGGGACGGCCTTGGGGGTCGAAGGTCGGCTTATCACTGCCCATGTGGCCTGTGAGACTGGGGCCATAGCAGTCGCTGGCCAGGATCCTCTGTAGGTGGGTGTCGCTCCAGTGCAGTGACCCAGCCTGCAGGGCGCGGCCAAACACGGTGTGGCGGGAACCTGCAGTTACCATCTCCTCCTCCTCTGGGCCTGTGGGAGAGGCGTCCAACCTGGCCTAGCAGTGGGGCTGTGGCCAGTTCCCCTGACTGAGTGCTGGCTTGGGGATAGACTCTGGGTGCATCAATGGACTTGTGTCACCTCCCCAAATCCTTACAGCAGCCTTTCAGATGTGTGCATGCGTGCGCGCTATTATAGCACCTCATGGGTGGACAACTGAGGTTGAATAACTGTTTCTCTGTCCATCTTTCTCCCCCCTATATTACATTCCTTTTTTCTCTTATCTCTCTCCATTCCCCCTTCCTGTTTTTCTCCTTCTCTGCCTCTCTTTTCCCAATATCTTTCTTTTATCTGTTTCTCCCACCCCCGACTCCATTGCCAGGAGGAGGATGAGTCAGGAGACCAGCCCAGAACTACAGATGTCTTAAGCATTTCACTTCACTGTCCCTTGGGCTGCCCATTGCCTTGCTCTGTGCACTTACTCCCCACTGATGGAAGGACAGGCAAGGGATGGGGCCCTCTTTGATCTCCCCCAGAGCTCTGTGATGGGGAGGCTGGGCCCCCAGAAGAGGTGATGCTTTTTGAGGGATGGCAGGGACCCCTCTCCTACCTGGGCTGAGGGCCATGGTGGGCTGCAGGCTGGGCCTGTCGAAAGAGTAGCTGCCCTCTTCCAGTGGGCACACGTCCAGCTTGTCCCACTTGCCAAGCAGCTGGAGCCAGCTTGCCCGCTCCTCTGGTTTACAGTGAGGGCTTAGGACTACGCACACCCACAGAGCCCCTGGAGAGAGAGGGAGGGCAGGAAACATGGGCACTGGGAAGTTTCAACATTCATGTCAACCGTAGCAGCACACATTTATGGAGTGTTTATCATGTGCTGGGTGGGCAATGCCCTCTGCTTCACTCTCCCCTCACCTCTGAGGTTGCAACTAATGATCTCTCCACTTTACAAACAAAAAACTGTCACAGAGAGGAAAAGCCACTACCTCAAGGTCACATAGCTAGGTAGTTGGAGGAAGCAGAATTCAAACCCAGGCCACCAGGCTCCTCTTACTGTTTTTTGTCCCCTTAAGGTGCTTCTCACCATCTATCACAGGGGCCACCAAATTACTGCCCCTGGAGAAAATCCAACCTGTCACCTCTTTTTAAATGACCGGCATGCTAAGATTTACTTTACATTTTTTAATGGTGGGGTGAAAAATCAAAAGATGACTTGTGACATGAAAATTATATGACATTCAAATAACTAAATAGTGTCTGTAAATACACTTTTATGGGAATACTGCACGCCCATTCAGTTACATGTATCTGAGGCTGCTTTTCTGCTACAATGGGCAAAACTGGACAGAGACCAAAGGGCCGGCAAATCTGAAACTATGGACTATTCAGTCCTTACGGAAAAGGTGTGTCGGTCCCTGGTCCAATGGGTCTGTAGTACTTTCTGGTCTGTCTCGTCTACCAGGTGTCAGATCCATGAGGGCAGGTATTTAATTTATTTCTTGCTGTAGCTCCAGCGATCAGTAAGTACCTCGTACATTGGAGGTGCTAATGAATGAAGGGCTCAGGGGCCAGACCCCAATCTCAGGGAGGGCAAGATCTGATGCCAGAACCCCGATGCCCACCCTGCTCCAGGTCTGGGCCTTACCCAACTCATCCCACAGCTGCCGGCATTTGTCCGTCATGCCAGCGCCCTGCTGCCGCCACAGGGCCAGGCGTGGGTCCTGCAGAAACTGCTCGGTCATGAGGATCAGCATGCGCGCCCCGTTGGAATCCCGCATCCGCAGCATCTCCCGTACCTGTGTGGGAATGGGACGGTGAGGAAGGGGCAGGGCGCTGGCACCAGGGCCTTGCAGCCCCACTGTGCATGACGTGCCCACACAGTACCTTGCAGAACATGGAACGCAGCTGCTGGCTGGCGCCATAGTAGCCGCCATTGGACAGCAGCTGCTTCACCTGCTCCTGGATCTGCTCCTCATCCAGGTGCCAGCAGTTGGCGTCCTCAATGCCTGCACCCGCTGTGGGGTCTGGGGCGCCTGTAGGGAGGGAGGAAAAGCTGAGGCTGTGGTTGGTGAGAGGAGGCCTCTGCCCCTGCCGTCATTCAGTCCTCTAAACCACCCTACCCAGCCCAAAGTTCCATCCATCATCTATCCATCCCATTTGAAAAACCACCCATCCATCTATCCATCCATCCGACCATCATTCCATCTAAAACGCCACCTATTTATCTATCCATCCATCCATCCATCCATCCATCCTTCCTACCCAAAACATCGGTAGTTCATTCATTTATTTATCCATCCTATCTGAAAAACTACCTACCAATCTATCCATCCATCCATCTCACCTAAAGCATTACCTACCCATTCATCCATCCACCTATCCGTCTTGCTTAAAACATCACTAGCTCATCCATCCATTTATTGATCTATCCATCTTACCCAAGACACACCCACCCATTCCCCCCATTCAGGTGGGATGATGGTCTATCCCACCTAAATCACCTGCCCTTCTACTCATCCATCCATGCCACCCAAAACATTACCTACCCATCCATCCAAACCACTCACCTGTCTATCCACTCCCCATGTCATACCACGCATCTATCCATCCACGCAGCCATAGCCCTTAGCATACCTACCTGCCCCATTAGTCCATCACCCACACTACCCATAACTTCTACCTGCTCACCTGTCAATACCCATCCCACTGGTTCATCCAGCCAGCTACCCACCCCATTTGTCTTTCCAAGTCATCTGTACCAACTATAAAATACCCAGACGTATTCATTCATTGACCCATACAACTGTATTATCTATCCATCCAACTAACACCAACTTTCTATCTATTCTTCTCACATCAAACCATCCATTCATATATATCTTCCAAAACACCCCCGACCCTGTTAGTCTATTTATCTGTCCTACACAAAACACCCACCCACTTAATCCATCGCCATGTCAGTCCACTCATACGAACATTCCTACACCCATCAACTGACCCCCAACCAACGCACTCATTGGTCCTTCCAGTTTTCCACCAACCCCATCTATCCACCACCATCAGTGTACCTCAACTCTCTCAGTCAAAGCCCATCCCACCCAACCCCACCTCCAATTATCATCCATTCCCGTCACCTATAATTCGAGTTCATCACCCATCCACTCACCCCGTCTGCTTTTCCATACCATCAATTCACCCCAACTCCCCATCATGAACACCTTCTGCATCCACCCACCCCCACCATCCATTATCTATCCATGTCTCCACCTACTACTCACCATCTATCACCCTTCATCCTGCTCCCTTCTCCCCACCATTAGTTAGGCAACACAGCCCCCTGTAGCCCCGAACCCTTCCACAGCTCATCACACCTCCTGGTCTATATCTCTCCCTCCACCCACGTACCCTTCATGCGCGCCACCTACCCACACTCCGGCCTGCTCCTGTGATCTTGTGACACCCCACCCTGGGGCCCGACCTCCCACTTGTTCCCTCAACTCTTGTGCTCCCCATTGGCTGATTTCCACCATTCATCTGCCCACAGCCACATCAAATCCAGGATCTGCCACCTAGTAAGTGTGTGACCGTGACCTCAGGCAATGGTACTGTCCTACTCCCACTCGTGAATCAAGGGGATATGAGGATTCCGTGACAAATGTATGTCACATGGCAAGTGATGTGGCTGCGAGCTGGATCCTTGCCACCCCCATCAGACCCCTGGGTGCCCTCACCATGCACCAAGTTGATCTCGGAGCCTAGGAGGAGGATCTCATCGGCCAAGCGCTGGGCAGTGGGCAGCACCTCGGTGTGGTGGGCGCTGATGAGGTACTGCACAAACTTCTGCAGCTGATCCCGGTTCATCTGGGAGAGTGTCTCGGAGATGGGCAGCCGCAGCTCCACCTGGCAGGCATGACGAATTCTGTACAGCGACAGGGCCACCACATGGGCACAGTAGAAGAGGTCTCGATTGTCACAGCCACAGCTCACGGATGTGATCTTGCAGCGGTCAAAGCTGATGGAGACGTGGTAGAGGCGCTCGGGCTCTCCAGGGCCTCCAGGTTCCCGGATGTTACCACTGAGGTGGAACCCTAAGACAAAAAACAAACCGTCTCTGATGTGTCAACCCAGGGACAGATGGTGCTCATCCACAGCCCACAGCAAGACCCGGGTACAGATGCCAGCTGAGTAACCTAGCATAAGTCAATGAACCTCTCTGTGCCTCAGTTTCCTCATCTGTCAAATGGAGATAAACAGTTAACATCCTCCTCATATGTTCATAATGATAATTAAATGAGTTAATACTTGGTCAGGGTTTAGAATGCTGTTGGCATATAGTAAGCCCTAAATAAACGCAAGTATGAATATTATTATTATAGCAATGATGTTAAAGATGGTTGCCTCAGCCTTTGTGTTACCATGGATACAGGCCAGGGTCTGGATGCCCTGTAATTTCCTGGGAAGATGCCAAAGGCCTGTGACACTTGGGGGCAAGGAGCTGATGTGTCAGGCCAGGGGCCAGGTCACCCCATCACCCCCTACCTCTCCCTGGGCCCTGGGGAGCCCAGATGTCAGGCTCATCCAACTGGTTGGGCAGCTCAGGCCCCAGCCGGCTCATGCTGCGTCATGCGGGGAGACGGCGGCTTCCTCATACCGGTTAGAGGAGGCCGAGCTTGTGGCCAGCTGGGCCATGTCCAGGCAAGGGGGCCCCTAGGCTGACAGGGTTCAGGGAGGGTCACCTTGGCCAAGCCCCTGCCTCTAGCTGGGAGACGAGACCTGCCCCCACAGAGATGCGGTATTTCAGGGATCACCTGTTTTCGGGCTCAACCTCTACTGGTCCCCTTCTGAGCCCTGCTGCATGAGGTCTAGAATCATCTTTCACTTCTAGCTCTAAACCTCTGCCTCCTCCCCTCCCCTGGACTCTGCTACCTGAGGTCTAAGACCATCCCTCACAGCAGATTCTAAACTTCCACTGTAGACTCCCACCTAAGGCTTGTTACCTTAGGTCGAGACTATCCCTAAATCTTTGATCCCAGCCTCCAGATCTAGGATCATTATTACCTCTGGCTCTAAATTTCAGCTCCAGTGCATTACTGGGTCTCTCTGCCTGAGATCTGGAACCTCCTCTCATTTCTGGTTATAAATGCTCCTTGATGCTGCCTTGGTCCTGCCCTCCTCCCTGTCTTACCACCTCTTCCTCACCTTCCAACTAAGCTGTCTGAGCTGGCACACCATCCTTTCCCCGACCTCTTATTTAAGCCTGCTTCCTGAAGTCTAGGCAGAGCCCTATTTTGTAGCTCACAAATCTTGTCCAACCCTCCCTGGAGATCTGAAACCTCCCCCTCCTCCAGGCCTGCTCCAGGCTTCCTGGCCTACATGGCAGGGGTGGGGGTAAGCACTCACCCACTTGGAGCACACGATCTACAGCCCCACTCTGCAGCAGGTGCAGCCCACGGGTGAAGGGCACCCGGGCGTCGTGCTCGCCCTCTGGGGATTGGTAGCCCAGCGACGAGTACATACATATCTCACGTTCACTGCGTGGAAACGACCAGAACACAATGCGCTTTTGGACTGGCTCTGGCACCCGGGAGAACCGCTCCTCGACCTGCAAGAAGGGCTGGTGGGTTAGAAACCCTGGCTTGAGTCCTGGCTTTGGTACTTACAAGTGTATGACCTTGCGCAAGTCAATTTGCCTCTCTGGACTTCAGTTTTCTCAAGTGTGATATGGGGATGTTAACAGCGCTGGCCTCCTGGGTATCATGAGGATTAAATATGCATTTATCTACGTAAAGTGCTTACAATAACACTTGGCCCATAGTGAGTGTTCTAGAACTTTCTACTGCTTTCCTCCTGGATGTCAGATCCCAGGGTCCTGATGTAGGGTAGTCCTACCTCCCAGGCTTTGAGGCAGGAGGAAAGAAGATAAAAGTGATGACAGTGACCAGGCCTACGTTTTCTTAGCCCCAGTGTGCTAAATGCTTCATGTATGTACTTTCCCTTAATTCTCACAACCTCCAAATGACACGAATCACCCCATTTTGCAGCCTAGGGAATCTGAGGATCAGAAGTGGCTTGAATTCACTTGTTCAGGGTCCCAGAACTGGTGAGCTCTGACTCCCAAGACAGACTGTTTCCAGCTTCCAAGGGCTGCCAGGAAGGGAGGGGTGTCCTGGCCACCCCCATGGTCTCTGGGCAATGAATTGAGCTGGTTGAGCCTGCGTTCCAATCCAGGCTTGCTATTCACTGGCTGGGTGACCTTGGGCAAGTTTCTCAACCTCTCTGTGCCCCAGTTTCTCAGAGTGGGCAGAACCACAACTCCCAAATGGTTGCAGAAGATTCTATGAGCTTCTATGGGACAAAAGCTTTCCTAGTACCCAGCCTGGCCAGTGCTGTTACATGGGAGCCCCAGAGATGGTTTTAAGATCATTCTGGGCACCTCACACACAATGAAGGGGCAGGGACCTTTCAGAGCCCCTGATCCTGGTTTCAGGGGAAGTGGGAGGACCAGTGACTGGCCCAGGCCTCGGGGACAGATGGCAGATGACTAAGGCCGTGAATCAGAGCCTGCTCCATCCACACTTGGCCTAGACCCATTAGTTCTGGCAGGCTTCCTAACTCTGGAGAGGCCAGGGGCAAAGAATGCTCCCCTCCCCCAAAGCCAGGCAGAACCTATGAAGGTTCAGAAGGCCTGATGAGGTCCGAACCACAACTCCAGCTCCTTGGGCAACCACGCTGAGGCTGGGAAAGGGGAAGCCAGAGGTGGGGTTCCAGGTGCACCTGTTCAGGTATCATCATAACCCAGATACCGACCGACCCTGCTGCTCACCTCTGGAAGGACTGGGATGGCGGGGGTGGGAAGCAGGGTGAATAGCAGGGGGATTTGGTGGGGGAAGGACCCTGAAACTGGAGTAATCCCTGCAGCCCGCCAGGAGGGGCTCAGCAGCCCCAGGTGGGAAGTGGTCCCAGGAGTACTAGGGGTGGGAGTGCGGGACAGGGCCTGAAAGATCTGGAGGAGACGGGTGCTCCCCATGGGACAGGTGGGTTCTGGAGGCTAGCAGGGGCATAAAGGGATGTCTTAGGCTGAGAGCTCTAGAAATGGGGGAGTTCTCTAGTGTAGGAAAGAGATCTGAACGACAGGAATAGAGAAATATAAGTCTCTAGGAGCAATGGGGGCGGCTTATAGGAGCTGGAGAGAGGAGGATTGAATGGGGTGCCCTAATTAGGGGATGAGGATGAGCTGGGAAGAGAGGGGTTATGAGAGAACCATGGGGAGGAGAAGGAAGTGTCAAGAATTGGGATCTGGGACGCTGAGGGCATCCCTGGGTCTTGTGGGCTGGAGGGCAGGGCTGGTGGGGAAGGGATGAGGGTGGGTCATGGGGTTTGAATAGCGTGAAATGGCAGGATAAGGGGCTGCCTCGGGGCAGGGTTAAGGATCTTGGAGGGGATCTATCTCCAACAGCGGCAGGTCCGGAGGCTGAGGGCTGGGAGCGGGGAGATGAAGACAAGTCAGGGAGGGAGCTGGGGGTGAGTCCTTACCTCCCTCTCCCCCCTCCACCCCTACCCCTGGTCACCTGCTCGAAGGCCCAGCTTTCGGCTACTCGCTTGGCGCTGAGGTCCAGCAGCGCCTCTGGCCGGCCTCGGCCACGCATTGCCCCGGCCCCGGCATCGCGCTCCTCCGGTCCCGCGGGGTAGCCCTGGCTGCGCTTGGCCGCGGGGGGGTCCATCCGGTCGGACCGGGGCCGGGGCCGGGGCCGGGGCGGGGCCTGTTGGGGGCTCGGTCCGATGCCTGCTTCGCTTGGCCGGCTCCAGCGACCCCTGCCCGCCTTCGCGTCGTCCTCCGCGCTCGGCTACTCCGAGACCCCCGCCGCTCCCACCCCCGCCCCGCGCCGGGCCGGCTGGGTGATGCGGCCCCTTTAAGACTCTTCACAACAATGAAGCTGCTTCGGCCGCCGCTTTATCCTCTGCCGTCGTCCCGCCCCCGCCGCCCGTCCTCATTGGCCCCCCCGTCGGCCTCCGAGGCCCACCTCCGCCATTGGCAGCACCGCCAGACCCGTCTCCAAGTCGCCGCAGCTCATTCGTTATATGCACTGCCTCTTTTTCCCTAGAGGCCCAATAAGAGCGTTCATCGAGCCGCGCTGTCAATCATGGGGCGCCGAAGGCCAATCAGGATGAGAGGACCCCTGCGGCGCAGGCCTTATGCAGAGTTTCGGGGCGGGCCCTGGGTTCATTCACAACATTCCTCCCCCACCCCCCTCGGGCTGGACTGCGCGCCCAGGGCAGCTGGAGCTGCGCCCACACACGGCTTTGTTTACTGAGGGTCGCTTCCGGGCGCTGCTAGGGGACAATCTAAACGGCTCGGCCGGGAGTGAGACAGAGTGACGGGATCCCCAGGCAGCAGCTCCTTTCTCTGGGCTGTGTGACGCGAGAAACTCTCTCGGCCTTTCTGGGCGCCGGGTCTTTTTGATTCTTGGGTGGGGGAGATCACAGGCCCCTTGGTAGAGCTCCTGGGGACTGCAGACTCTCTCTCCAGAAATAGAGCCCAATTCAAGCCCCTCCTTGAACCCCAAGCTAAGAAGCCCCAATGGATTCTATGCCCTAAATTTTACATTGAGTCATATGAAATTGCTGATTTTCTACCATTTATGACCTATTAAAATGGCAATTTCATAAGGTTCGAGGTAATACATGTCAAATAGACCAGCTCTGGTTATTTTTTTTCTGACTCAGCTTGTCCAGGCCACATCTTTGGCCTGGAAGCCAGCCATGGTTTTTATCCACTACCCACCCCTTGTCCTTATAGAATCCTGCGTTTCTCCTTTCACCACACCTTTCTCTGTTGTCATTACATTTATTTCAGCAGCTGTTTAATTTCTGTCTCTTCCTCTCTATGGTGAACCCTAAGAGGCTAATTGGTACACTGCTGTACCACCAGCACCTGAACAGCACCAGACATACAGCAGTCATTCAGTCTATAACTTAAGTGAACCAACTCAAGCTTTGCTCCTATTCCATTGAAATGACCTACAGAACAGGACAAACCCAAGCTGACCCCTAAGAGGCATCATTGCTGCCCCTCCCCATATGGAAATACTGGCTTTTTCCTTCCAGGAATTTCAAGTTTCACAGCTGCATTTTATGGCCAGTCCCCAACCCACTATTCAGTCAACTCTCTCCAAACGACACTGTCCAGTACGGTCACCCCTGGCCACAAGTGGCCTTATGAATGGGGTTGGGCCTGAATTGGTGTGTGCTGTAAATGTAAAAAGTGTGTTTTGGAGACGTAGGAAAAAAAAGTAAAAGTTTTGTTTTTTTTTTAAAGATTTTTTTAATTGGGGAATTGGGGGGATGGGAACACTGCTGGGGAATTGGGGGAAGGGGAACAGACAAGTTGCTGTCATTTTGTTTTTCATTCTAGTTGTGGAGGATGTTGCTTCACTGGCCCAAGTTGGCACCATCATTGTGCTCTTCCTGGGCGAGGCAGATCATTCACCGGCTTCTGGACGGCTGCTCAGGCTAGCTGCTGGCTACACACAGTAGCCCATGGCAACCCACTGCCACAGGGGCTGCAGCCTACGTGTGTTGAGATGTTGTTCAGCATCTTAGCTGTAGAGGGCAGTGTCACTGGCCCTCATATGTGGGATCCGAACCGGGGCCCTCTGGCATCCCAAGCCAATTCTTAACCATCGCGCCACTCGGCAGGCCCGTAAAAGTTCTTATTAGGAATTTTTTATATTGATTAGACATTGAAATAATATTTTAGATTGGGTTAAATAAAATTATTAAAATGAATTCCTCCTGTTTCATTTTATTTTATTATTGCATTCCATTTTATTCCATTCTGTTCTATTCTACTCCATTCTATGTGGTATCAGGACATTTGAAGTTACATATGTGACTTGCATTGTAATTTCTAGAGCCTGTCATAATGACAATAATAGTGTACTGACTGCCCTAGCTTTTTAGATATATCACATTTAAGCCTTCCAACAGCTGCAAAGTGGGGATCTTGTCTTCATTTCTCTAATGAGGAAACTGAGGCTTGAAGAGGTGGAGTCCTTGCCTGAGCACACCCAGATTGGGAAGCTCTAAACTTACTGGAGTGTCCCTTTCTTGCAAAGGATTTGAGAAAAAGACCCACCGGGAAGGAGTACCTGAGGTGGGGGGAGAGGCAGGCAGGACTTCCTCAAATCATGTTTCAGATGCTCCCCTTGCAAACAGGACCCAGGGTGGGGCTTTTCCCAGCGGCCCCCTTCATTCAGCATCTGGGACATGGCTGTGTCAGCTAAGCCCAGGTCTCTGTCTCTGAGGATGCTTCAGATGGAGTCCAACGTTTCTGAATCAGGGAAGTCACTCCTGGCCAGTGGAAGAGAGGATGTTTAGAAGAAATAGAGAATGTTATCACAGGGTGAGGATGTTTTATTTTACTCTCTAACAACAGATACTAATATTGTCATCATCTCCATCTCATGGATGAGAAAACTGAGGTATAGAAAGTTCAGGTGACTTGCCCAAAGTTTACAGCATTCAAACCTGGGTGGGTGGGCTGGTCCTGCCACATCAGCTGGGGATCAAATGCACAGAGTTTGGGATACACCAAGATTCTATTTTGATCCCTGATTTTACAGATAAGGGGAATGAGGCTCAGAGAGGGTCAGAAAGTTGCCCAAGGCCACACAAAGAATCTCTGATCAGCGAGGATGTATGAGGTCAGAAAGGCCCTTGGGAAGATGGGCGTGCCCTCAGGATGAAGTCTCTAGGTCTATTTCAAGCCTGCTCTCTCCCTAGAAACACTTTTAAGAAAGGAGAGGTTGGGAAGGGGGTTCCAGCTACCCTAGTGGCCCCCTCTCCCAGTGCAGCCAGCAAGCTGGAGCTTCAGGGAAATAGAAGCCACATTTATCTCGCCATCCTGCCGTGAGCTCACTGTCTAGGCATTCACAGCTCCTGACCCAAAACTCACGGGAAATGGGGCAACCCTAGACACTGAGCTGAGGGGGGACAAGGCTCCCAAGCTCTGTGGCCACCCGCACTCTAACTTTTCGAGGCTCCCTCCCTCTGCCAGCCCCCTGCAGCACCCCCATGCCCCTGTTGACTCAGGCAGGAAACCAGCCAAGGCAGTTTCACTTCCTGGTCCCAGCAGCCCCTCTGGCCTGACCAGCTGGAAATATTTGTTCTTATATTTCTTTTCTTTTCTTTTGGAACACAAGTTCATGGGCAAAGTGTCAAGGCCCTGCCAGGAAAAACGGGCATTCCGGGCAGAGGGGAAGGTGGAGGCAGGAGAGGAGAAGGCTTGAGGAATAATAACCGTGTCTGAAAAGCCACACGTAATGACTGCCCTGTCCCTGGGGGAGAGGCCCATGAGGACAGGCAGAGAGGACAGGCCTAGAGGTGGAACTTGGGCTCCCTCCTGCCCCCAGGACACAGGGGCAGCTCATAATCACACCTGTAAGTCCCCTGGCCCTCAGGTTCCCAAATTCTCCAGAGGGAGGGGTGTTAGATCCCCATTTAACAGACGCAGAAACAGGATCAAGAGAGGTGAAGGGACTTGCTGAGACAGGAAGTGGCAGAAACTGGCATAGAATGCAGGGTGTGGGGTTTTCCAGTTTGGGGCTTTTAGCTTCAGTATTAACCCGGGGTTTGTGGACAGGTGAAAGGATAGAGGAAGTCACGCAGGGTAGTGGCCTCAGGGAAAAATGTGGCTGTTTGGGGAGTCTGAGGGGGTGGGGTAATGGGGGAACAAGTGGGTTGACATTCCAGACCCCATACCTGTCACACCTGAATGCCTTTCCTTGCCCCTGGGGTCCTCCTCAAAGGACAGGCATCAGAGGGACAAAGGGAACCCTTGGTCTGCCAGGAAACGGGCAGGAGGATTGGCTGGGGTTTGAGGAACCTCCTGGGGGCTGAGGGAGGAGCCAGAAGACACCCAGAGTTCACCTAGTCCTGGCCCTTGCCCTTTCAAATTCCAGACAGAAAGTTTCATTAAGAGGGTGAAATCTGCTCTCACAGACATATAAAGATGAACATGTGTTAAAATTTTTATTGAACTCATGTGGGATCCAGGCAGATGTGAAACGTTATACATATGGAAGCAAATTGGTTGCACCATGGGGGAGGAGGGCTGTCAATGGAACTGTTGAAATGGCCGGAATTTGCAAATCTACAGATAAGATTGGTTTGGTATTGCTATCAGCTGCTTACAATTCACAGAGCTGTAAAATTGGTCAAAGAAAAATGCTAATGCTATGAATCAGACAGCCTGGGAGGGTGTACTGTATCGAGATGATACACTGAATGATGGTAACTGAGTCACTGAAAAGCAAAATTTTCCTTGGAGAAACAATTCATTCCTTCATTCAACAAACACCTAGAGCAGCGGTTCTCAGCCTGTGGGTTGCGACCCCTTTGGGGGTCGAACGACCCTTTCACAGGGGTTGCCTAAGACCATCGGAAAACAAAAAGATATTTACATTACGATTCATAACAGTAGCAAAATTACAGTTATAGAGTAGCAACGAAAATAATTTTATGGTTGGGGGTCACCACAACATGAGGAACTGTATTAAGGGGTCGCGGCATTAGGAAGGTTGAGAACCACTGACCTAGAGAGACAGAGCAGATCACTGGGGGAAGGGGAAATGGGGAGTGACAGGGAATGGGGACAGGGTCACCTTTTAGGTGACAGTTTTGGAACTAGATAGAGGTGGCGGTCACAAAACATTGTGAAATGTACTAAATGCCACTGAACTGTACACTTTAAAATATCCATTTTATATGTGAATTTGAATTACAAAAAAATAAAGCAAGGAGAGCAATTTAACAGAAAAATCCTAATTTACATCTTGAAAAAAATCGGGAATTATGGCAGCACAGCCTGAATTTGATGGATACTTTCCAGTCTGGAGTTTCCCTGGGCCCAGCCTGGGACCTGAACTGTGACCTGCCCCTCACCCCCAACACAGGGAGAGAAGGGTCACTAGGCTAGAGCTCCCAGCTGACTCGACACTGGCTGACTCCACAGGCGGTGTCCAGACCAGCAGACCAGTGACAATTCTGGGGAGGGAGCGCCCAGGATGGAATAGGAGAATCTTGGTGTGGGAAGAGAGGCCCAGGATGGTCAGCCAAGAGCACACACTGGGACTCGGCCAGTGGTGGGTTCACGTCCTGGCTCTGCAGTGTTAACACCCCAACAATCCCTGATCCATAGGCAGCGCTAGGAAAATACTAGATGTTTTGACCTTTTTATACTCATAGAGGGGTCACTGAGCAGTTCATAAGTGCATTCTGGTTTAATCAGCACCGTGACCCTACCAGGTGGTGTCAACACTTCTCTGTCCTATGGATGGGAAAACAGTTCCCAGTGTTATCTGGCTTGTCCCTGGCAGAGGGGGTGACCTGGGTGTGTCTGGGGAGGGTGTGCAGGTAAGTGAGGAGGTTGGTGTGAATCACCTGGTGGGAAGGAGGTAAAGACTGCATGGGGCTGGTGTCCTGGAGAAATTGCTGGGGCCAACCGGGTTAGTGCACCTGGCCTGTGGCCCCAGCACTGGCCTGCTCACATGAACACGTGACTGCAGGAGCAATGACAAAGCGAAGTTTATTGCTCCAGGTTAAACCAGTGGACACAGGAACTGGGAAGGTAAATGTGTGCTCGGGGCCATTGCTAAGCTGTCAGAACCCAGGGAAGCCATGCACTATGGATGTGCTGGTTGCCTGCTCAAGCAAGGCCACCCCACTACCCAGAAGCTAGAGCTGCAACCCAAGGCTCTTGGGAACAGGGCTCCTCCTGTCCACAGTGCTGCCCATGGGGTCACCTGCAGAGGTCTGAGCATGGAGGCGGGGGCTGCAGTGACAGTCTCCGCTGGGCCAAGTGTTTAGGAAGGTGTCTTGATGGAGGAGGAGGAGGCAGCTGTCTCCTTCTTCTTGGCGGGGGCCTTCACCAGTGCCAGCTTCTTGGGTAGGCTGGTGCTGGCTTTCATCACCACGTCATGTTCTATCTTCTTCCGGATCCCAACCTCCAGGTCCTGAGGGGACAACCGCGGGGCAGTGAGACTGGGATCTCAGGTGGAGGGAGTGAGGGAGGGCCTAACCTGGGGCTGGGTCATCAACTCCCCGCAAAACAGCACCTGAGACTCTGGTGGCTGGGATTTAAGTCCTGCTTTTGTCTTATACTCTTTGGGGTATCACACACAAAAAAACCCCTTCTCATCTCTGGACCTCAGCTTCTAAACTTCTGCTCACCCCCATTCCACAGATGGGAAACTGGGCTCCTGCAGTGTTGGGAACCCCATGTGAGGGGAGACTGGAACTTGGCATGCCCAGAGCCTCTGATCTCAGCCTCCAGGAGGGCAGCTCCTCCTGTCCCATGTCATCTCCGCTTTGCACGGTGAACTGGGGCTCTGAGAGGCAGGGATGTGAACAAGTGAAAGCACAGGGATTGGGAGCCAAGTGCATTTGGGTCCAAAACTAGTAGTTTAATCATATTCTTCAAACCACCTCCTTGCCCTGCCTGTGTAAGTTCCAGTGACCATGAGCACCATGACCTTCATCACATGCCTGGGCGCAGGAGACAGACACAACAGCAAACAAGACACAGAAAAATATCTGCCCTCACAGAGCTGACATTCAGTGCATATGTGGGGATAATATAAATGCCAATGACACATTATAATAAACTGTTAAATGATGATAAATGATAAGTGCTGCTACGGAGAAAAGAAAACAAGGGCTAGCGAGTGGGGGTGGGGCTGTGGGGCTTCCATCAGGTGCTGCTGCTGAGAAGCAACACTTGAAGTCAGACCTCTGACTCAGAGGGAGTCATGTGGATTTCTGGGTGAAGAACCTGGACAGAGGAAACAGCCAGGGCAAAAATTATGAAGGGAGGAGCAGCAGTTAAAGGGCCAGCGAGGCTGGAGGGCGTAAGGGGGAGTGGGAAGAGATGAGGGCAAGGAAGTGATGGGCAGCGTGTGCAAGGCCTTGTAGAGGACAGGTGTTTCCTGAGTGAAATTGGGAGCCACGGAGTTCTGGGCAGAGAAGGGAGATGATCTGACCTTCCGTGCTCACAGGTGCCCTCTGGCTGCTATGGGGAGATGGGTGGGGGAGGCAGGAGAGGGGGAGGATGTGGCTGCAGACGCAAGACAGTGGGGAGGACCAGGGGAGGGGGAGGTCAGGGAAGTGGGTTGGTGCAAACGTAACTGCAGTTTCGGACTGTGAATTTTAAATCATTATAACTAGGTGCAAATACATCTTTATTAATCAAAATATGAATCATTACAATCAACACATTTTTGTCGACAAGAAATAAGTTTGTTTATTCCTGTAGTGTAAAAATCCATGCTTTGGGATTCGACAAACTCTTGGAAAGCATTTTCTGCATCCTGCTGGTTGTAGAAGTGTTTTCCCTGCAAAAAGTTGTCGAGATGCTTGAAGAAGTGGTAGTTGGTTGGTGAGAGGTCAGGTGAACATGGCAGATAAGGCAAAACTTCATAGCCCAGTTTGTTCAACTTTTGAAGCATTGGTTGTAGGACTTGCAGTCGGGCGTTGTCATCGAGAAGAATTGGGCCCTTTCTGTTGACCAATGCCGGCTGCAGGTGTTGTAGTTTTCGGTGCATCTCATTGATTTGCTGAGCATACTTCTCAGATGTAATGGTTTTGCCCGGATTCATAAAGCTGTAGTGTATCAGATTGGCAGCAGACCACCAAACAGTGACCATGAACTTTTTTGGGTGCAAGTTTGGCTTTGGGAAGTGCTTTGGAGATTCTTCTAGGTCTAACCACTAAGTTGGTTGTCACCGGTTGTCGTATAAAATCCACTTTCGGCCGGCCGAATGGCACGATGGTTAAGAACCGGTTTGGGACACCAGAGGGCCCCGGTTCGGATCCCACATGTGAGGGCCAGTGACACTGCCCTCCACAAAAAACAAACAAACAAGATGAACATACTAAAATCCACTTTTCATCGCATGTCACAATCCAATCGAGAAATGGTTCACTGTTGTTGCATAGAATAAGAGAAGACAACACTTCAAAATGATTATTTTTAAAAAATTTTCGGTCAGCTCATGAGGCACCAGCTTATCAAGCTTTTTCACCTTTCCAATTTGCTTCAAATGCCGAACGACCATAGTCGATGCAACTTCTCATGTAGTTGGTAAGACGATCAGCTTCAATGATTGCTCTTAATTGGTCACTGTCAACTTCTGATGGCCGGCTACTACGCTCCTCATCTTCAAGGTTCTCGCGTCTCCTTTGCAAAACTTCTTGAACCACCACTGCACTGTACGTTCATTAGCAGTTCCTGGGCCAAATGTGTTGTTGATGTTGCGAGTTGCCTCCACTGATTTACGACCCATTTTGAATTCGAAAAAGAAAATCGCTCGAATTTGCTTTTTGTCTAACATCATTTCCATAGTGTAAAATAAACAGCAAGTAATGTTATTAGCAAAAAAACATAAAGTGCGCATTAAAATGATGTATAACATACCTATATTTAAGAATGTATTCCAATATCAAACGGCAAATTTCAACAATGTAAAAACCGCAATTACTTTTGCACCAACGTAAAGATTAATCCTAAAGGCAAAAAGGATGGGATCCTACCTGGATGTGAGAAAAAGGGCGGAATCAAGGATGACCCCTAATATTTTGAAATTCGGAAGGACAGAGTGTTCCTGAACGGAGACTATAACACGATCATGTCAGGGAAGGAGAGGAGAGGATCAGAGGCTTGGTTTTGAACATGCCCAGTCTGAGATGCTCATGAGACAGCGCCACTTCTGACCCCCAGATGGAGGTAAGCACGCTGCTGGGTACAGAGGTCTGAGACAACCGAGGCTCTGTGGAAACTGATCAATTCACTCAAGATTCCACACTAGTTAGTGTGGAATACAATTTGAACTCAGTTCTGACTCCAAAACTAGTTTTAATTTTCTGTAACTTCCTCATAGGCTCAACCTTACCCATCTATATAAAAAAAGCCGCACTTAAAGACAACCACAGAAATGAAAATAACCAATATAGCTAACGTTTATCTGTGCTCTGTGCTGTTCTCAGCGCTTTACACGTGGCCTATGGCATTGAATCCTTACAACTCTAGGGAAAAAGCACTATGATATTTCACAGGTAAGCGGCTCAGGGTGAACAAATATTAGCCATCGATGGAGCTGCTATTTGCACCCAGCATGCCTTCTTGCAAAGCTGGGGTTTTCAACTCTTTTCCCATGCCCCCTCCCCTCCCGAGTTATATTAAAAAGAACAGTAACAGCCACAGCAGCTAACGTGTGTTGAATGCTTTTTGCAGGCCAGACCTTTGTTTCGACGAGGTCCGTTGAATACATTATATTCCTGTACCTGGTTCAGAAAATTGAAGTTCACAGGGCCGAGTTCTCCAGGCTCCATCCCCGACCCCTCTTCGGTTCCAGGCTTCATCCCTGGACCCCTCCGTAGACCTCCGGGTTCCCTACCCCTAGCTCCTGGACAGCTCCAGGCTCCATCCCCGGTCCCCCGCTGTCACCAGGTTCCATCTCTGTTTCCCCGCGCCAGTCCCGAATTCCATCCTTCGCCCCTCGCACTTACCTTCTTGAGCTTTCGCTGCTGCACGATGCGCGCCTTCTTAGGGGCGATAACACGACCTGGGGAGAGACGCGCTCGCGTGAGGCAGGGGAGCCCCGAGCCCACTTCGCTCTTCAGGCCCCCCAAAGCGCTTCTCACCTCCCTTCCTCGGGCCCCGGTTTCGTTCCGAAGCCGCCGCGGTCTTGCTCTTCCCCGACTTCCGCGCCTGGAACTTGCGCTGTCCCTGCGCCATGATCGAGTATGCGCCGGAAGGGGCAGAGCTGCGAAGTTGTAGCCGGAAAGGCGCAGGGCACCATGGGATACATTGAAGCTGGAGGGCGCAAGTGCTCATGGGAGACAACGAGGCAAAGGGTTTTAAGGGCCAGTTCCAAGAGTGGTTGATCATACGCAGCGTTGCGCATCAACTTGGAAGGAATTTATTATAAGCTAAGAATTATTGGGCGCTGATTTGTTTTGTAAAACGTATACAGTTTCATGTTCTTCATACATAAAATTCAGTCTAGGTCGAGGGTGAGGTGAGTGAGGCACTTACTGGTGCAGAATTTAAGGGTGCCCAAAATTCCGTAATCAAGATAGTGTTTTCGACCTTTAAAAATATTTTAATATTAAAAAAAAATCAACTCGTTAAACTACAGCCTGTAGACTGGCGGCCTAATGTTTGAAATAAACTTTTATTGGAACAACAAGTGCTGGTATCCTGGGTGAGCTAAGGTATGCAAATATAGGGTTCCAGTCTCTCTATTTAATAGCTTGGTATTTTGTTCATCATGGATTTTTTTTGCATTAATTTTGATTTTTTAAAAATATTGAAACTATTATTATTATTATTATTATTTTAGCTGAGCCATCCTGCTACCTGTTGGCAGCTCAGCGGCTGCTCAGCTCGGGCTGGACTCGAATCACTGTTGCTCAGAGCTCAAACTCTTGAGCGAGCTCTTAACCAACTGAGCCACTCGGCCGGCCTGAAACTATTATTAATCTTGGTTACCAAGCTTTTTGGTGTCCCCTTTAAAAATAATGCACCTGAGGTGTCACCCTAGATCTAGTTCTGAGAGCAACCTAAGAGGGTGGACTAGTATTGTCCCCATTTTACAAATGAAGAAACCAAAGCATGGAGAGGTGAAGTGACTTGGCTAAGATCACACAGCAGAAAAAGTGGCAGAGCTAGGATATGAACTTGGGTAGCCTAGCTCCAGCTGCTGGGCTTTTAAGAGCAAAGGCTCTGTCTGCTCTTCCTGCTCCAGGAAGAAGTGTGGTTGGGGGAAGATCAGCTTTGGGGAAGGCCATTCAATAAGTTTTATTGTAAAACCTAGGTTGGGGCGGGGAGGGGCCGAGTGGCTCCGTTGGTTAAGAGCTTGCTCAAGAGTGCAAGCTCTGAGCAACAGAGTCACGGGTTCGATTCCTGACTGGAGCTGAGCTGCCAACAGGTGGCAGGATGGCTCAGCTAAAAATCAAACAAACAAACAAAAAAACCTAGGGGGCTGGGGGCAACGTAGGGTATGGAGAGCCAGGTTGGTTACTTCTCCATCTAGAGTTCTGGCCCTCAGGAGACAGTGGTGCTTAAGGCTGCCCGGAGGTCTTTGGGGGCAAAGACACCCAGCTCTGTGATGATGCCACCGGTGATGAGGTCATGGGGGGTGACGTCGAAGGCAGGATTCCAAACCCCAATTCCTGCAGGGGAGAGAGGGAAGGCAAGAATGTAGGCATTTGGCTTTGTGAAAGTTCTCAAGCTGTTGTCACCTGTCCCCCACCATGGTGGTTCTTGGAGTTAGGGAATCCTTGAGAATTCTGGGGATACTCACCCCAAAAGTGCATGAAAGCATGGACTTTGGCACCCAATAACAAGTTGGGTGCCAATATACCACTCTTGTATTGTCACTGTCAGAAAAGGTTTTGAAGTCTTATATACAACTACCCCCCTTCTGCCTGCTCCAAAGATCTCTTCAAGAACCTCCAAGAATCCACCTCAGAGCCTTTGCATTGTCTGTGCCCTCTGTCTAGATGCTCTCCCTCAGATATACACATGACTCAATGTTTTATTTACTTCAGGTCTTTGCTCAAATATCACCTTCTCAGTGAGGACTTCTCTGATCATCCTAAACCTCCTGCACAGATACTTCCTTGCCTCACTTATTTCTCCTCAGCCCTTATCTCATTCTCTAATTGTGTTATTTATCATGTTCATTGTCTATCTCCCTAAGTAAACTGTCAGCTCTGTGAGGGCAGGGACTTTTGTGTCTTTTTTCACTCTTGTATCCCCAGCACTTAGCATCAGTTGGCTGCTTAGAAATATTTGCTGAATGATTTACTGAGTGTAGATCACAAGTTACACAAAAGGCTGCAAACTGGTGGCCTGTAACTGTTTTCTCTGGCTCACAGTTTTTTAAGACCACTGGATTAGCTGCCAGCTTTCAAAAGGTGGGAGATTTCATAAATTAAAAAAATGTAGGGCCAGCCGATTGGCTCAATTGGTTAAGAGCTCCCTCAAGAGTGTGAGCTCTGAGCAACCGCGGTTTGATTCCTGGCCCGAGCTGAGCTACCTCTGAGCTGCCAACAGGTGGCAGGATGGCTCAGTTAAAAAAAAAAAAAAAGTAAGTCTTCTCTTGGAAAAGGCAAAAGACCCATTTTCCTGGGGTGTGCATTCCTGTGACCACTGGTGGGAGCCTCTCACAACTGGGAGCAGAGTGTCAGGCCACAGACTATAACTGGCCTGTGTCGCTCATGTCCTGCTGCCCCAGTTTTACTATTTTTTTGGGGGGGGGGCAGGCTGTCAACTCTGCTTTCCACAGTCTTATGAATTATAACCAGTGCTAATTATGCCTCTAGGAAAGCAGAGGTACCAAAAAAAACAATGAGAAAAAAAAAATCAGAATTAATGCATCTATTTTTTAAAAAGCTATAAGCGGGCCGGCCGAGTGGCGCATTGGTTAGGAGTTGTCTTGGGACGCCAGCCCTGAGCAGCAGGGCCCTGGTTCCAATCCCACATGAGGGTCAGTGACGCTGCTCCCTCTGCAGCTAAGATGGTGAACAGCAGCTCGACCTGGAGCTGGGCTGCTGTAAGTCGCCGGCGAGGGCATGTGCTGCGGTGGGGCTGGCTGGCAGCGGGTGTGAGCTTTCGTGAGCTGCTGTGAGCCACCATGGGTTGCCATGAGTGGCTGTCCAATGGACGGCAAGTAACTGCCTCTCCCAGGAGGAGCGCAATGATAATACCAACATGGGCCAGTGAGGCGACGTCCTCCACAGTTAGACTGAGGAGCAGAGGGTCAGCAACTTGTCTGGTCCCCTTCCCCGATTCCCCAGAGCTGTTCCCCTCCCCCAATTCCCCAATAAAATCTTAAAAAGAAATAAATTTAAAAAAAATCTATAAGGAATCACAGCAGAAAACAACAGACTATCAGGACTTCTCTCCACTTAGTTGCATAGTTATTTTTACCCTGACTCCATACTTGGACTAGTGGGTGGTGACCCTATAGTACTGGTTGTCGGAAAAGTCATGACGCATTTTTGCAACGAAAAACAGAAAAAATACTGAGAGCTGGCTTGGGACGCCAGAGGGCCCCGGTTCGAATCCCATATATGAGGGCCAGTGACACTGTCCTCTATAGGTAAGATGGTGAACAGCAGCTCAACCTGGAGCTGGGCTGCCGTGAATCGCCAGCGACGGTGTAGGCTGCAGTCCCTGTGGCAGTGGGTTGCCATGGGCTACCGTGTGTGGCCGGCAGCCAGCGTGAGCGGCCAAGAGCCACCATGAGCGGCCGTCCAGAGGCCGGCGACCGATCTGCCTTACCCAGGAAGAGCGCAATGACAATACCAACATGGGCCAGTGAAGCAACGTCCTCCACAACTAGCCTGAAGAACAAAAGGACAGCCACTTGTCTGTTCCCCTGCCCCGATTCCCAAAAGCTGTTCCCCTCCCCCAATTCCCCAATAAAAATCTTAAAAAAAAAAAAAAGGTTTTCAATTGTAATTGTTAATCGGTACTAACTAAGGGCTGGGCCTGTTCTCCATGTCATATGCATTAATTCACTGAAGGCCCTGGGGTTTAAGAGGCAAGTCATAATAACAACCCATCTTACAGACAGGAATACTGGGGCTCTTAGGGATGAGAGAACTTAGGTAACCTGTCCACAGCTGCATAGCCAGGAAGCAGGAGAAGTTGAGAAATATCTGTCTCTTCATAGGCACTTGGCTGAACAGTATTCTTATTTCTTCTTCTTTTTTTTTTTCTTATTTCTTCTTCAGGTAAGTAAACCGAGGTGGAGAATGGCAAGACAATTTGCTGAAGTTTTTCCAACTTCTGACCTTGAATTTGACCTCCAAGATGTTTCCACTCCAAAAATTGGCTTCAAGGAGCTGCCTGTGCCCCAGAAGGCTGATGACATCTCAAATGCCACCTGCCCCCTGTGAAGGGACTGGAGTATCTAACAGGAGGTGCCCAGATGCTGTGATGCCTCCCCCCCACCAAGCGATGGCTTACCAGGCGCTGCAATCCTGAGTCCATTGACATCGGTGAGCTCCTGGCCTGGGCGCTCCTCGATGATGATTTGCTGGCCCGTTTCCAGATGGAGGTCACATGAGGAGCTGGGGGCGGCCACATAGAAGGGGATGCCATGGTGCTTGGCGGCGATGGCCAGCTGGTAGGTGCCCACCTTGTTGGCTGTGTCACCATTGGCAACTACACGGTCAGCTCCCACAACAACAGCTGGGGAGCAAGATGTCGGGGGTCACCACCTGGTTCTGGATGCCTGGAGCCCTGCCTGTAGGGACCCGACCTGCTGACCTGACACACCCCGGTGGGCCATAGCAGCTGCTGCCATGCTGTCGGCGATGAGGGTGGCAGGGATCTGCTCGTACACCAGCTCGAAGGCCGTCAGCCGGGCCCCCTGGTTGTAGGGCCGGGTCTCTGTGCAGAAGGCAAGCTCCAGGCGGCCAAGGTTGTGCAGTGAGCGGATCACACCTGCAGGGCCCAACCCACCAGGAGAAGGCCAGGATGAGACAGAAAGGGACAGGTGGGCAGGGTGGCCCATTGGTTAGGGGCACAGATCTCCACAAAGGCTTGCCACCCCGGGGTCCTTGCTGTGGTTGTTCCCTCTGCCTGGTACAAGTGGGCTTAGAAAATACCTTCTCAATGAGTCCTTCCCTGATTGCTACATCTCAGGGAATAGCAACCCCCCACACCTCTGACCTCTTTCCCTGTTCTTCCTCCTCAGCACTTATCACTCTGAACACATCATACATATTTACTGACTTGCTTTTGTCTATTCCTCGTAGTTTCCTATCCCGATGGCTGAGATTTTGTTTACTTTGTTCATTGCTGGGTCCCCAGCACCTAGAACTGTGCCTGGCACACAATACATGCTTAACAAATGTCTACTGAGTGAATGAAGGAATGCATGCATGAATAGTGGGGTATACAGTAGATGCCTACTAAATATTTGTTGAGTAAATGGATGAATGTCTTGTCATCAGGGCCTCAGTTCTTAGGTCCCAGGGTGGGACTCAGGCAGGTAGGGAAATCTGGAGAGGTTAGGGTCAAGTAGAATCTGCTGTCTGAGTCCCAGTACCCAGTCCCTGTCTCTCCTGGTCACAGGTACTCCAATCTTTCCTTGGGGCTCACTCTCTTCCCCTTAGTCCTCTGGGAGTCCTCATCCTACCTACTCTCTGCCCACTCAGGCCAGGCCCATAGAGTGATTGCTCTTGGATGGGCAGGTGATTCCCATCAGAGCCCCTGAGATACAAAGAGATTTTTGTGGCACTGTTGCATAAGACCCGTGGCTCTATTCCTCCTTATCTGAATACTGGCAGACCCTCTACCAACCCATGGAGTGTGAGCAGAAGGGCAGAGCTTAGGAACAGAAATAGATGGGTCCTGATGCTATTTGAACCCCTGGATCCAGCCATACTTGAAGCTTTTCTAATCAATTCCCATTTTGGGGGGATGGGAAAAGTAGTTTGAGTTTATTTCTCTTGCCTCCAAAAGGGGCCCTCCCCCATCCCCATGGAAGCCCACTCACCCAGGGCTGTGCCGTAGCCAGCAGTGGCCAGTGCACCAGTATTACAGTGGGTCAGCACGGTCACCTTGCCGCCCTTGGGGGCTGCCCGCTCCAGGAGGTGTTGAGCTCCCAGGTCCCCAATGCTCCGATTGTCCTTGAGGTCTTTCTCCAGCATGTCCTCAGCATAGCGGATCACTCTAGGGCCAACAAGGGGCTCTCAGCAGCAGCCACCAGGCCTCGAAGCCTGGGCTAGCCCCTTCTTTCTGCCCAGCTCCCTTGCTGAAAGCCTCTCACAGCTGTGAGGCCTGGACCCTTCTGCTATTGCCACTTGTCACTTCATTCACTCATGCAACACATGTTGACAGAGCACCTCCTGTGTGGGAAGTGCTGGGGGGCACAGCAGTGAACAAGACAAAAATCTCTGCCTTTATGGAGCTGACACTGGAGTGCGGGAGGCAAATGATGAGCAGATAAGGTGAAGGAAAAGGCAGCGGAGTTAGGAATAGGGATGGTGGTGGTGATGAGCTGTCACATATGGGGGTTCCGGAAGACAGAAACCTGAAACCTGAAGGAGAAGGCATCTGTGGACACCTGACTTGCAGAAAAGGCATATGCAAAAGCCCTGAGGCAGGAAGAAGCTGGGTGGGGTCAAGGAACATGAAGGTAATGGTGTAGCTAGAGTGGAAGGGGAGAGCGGGAAGAGGGCAGGAAATAAAATTCCTCAAAGCAAAAACCGGGAGAATGCGAGGTGGCACTGACAAAGGCCTCCAAGGGGGCGGTGTGTGTATGTGTGTCTGGGCATGTTCAGGAGAGGCACCGTCAAGGGAGTTCAAGGACCCAGGAGCCTGGCTGTCTGGGGTCAACTCCCAGTCCTGCTTGTGTGACCTTGGACTAAGCGCGCCATGCCTGTTTCCCATCTGTAAAACGGAGGGCTGTGCGCAAGAATGAGTTAGCCTCTGCTCAGCGCATTGCCTGGCACAAGGACCCCCTACCTCTCCCGGACCGCCTCCTCCGTGGCACCCTCTCGCTCGGCCTCCTGGGCTGCCGCGTCGGCCAGGTTGCGGGCGGCGCGGGCCATGTTGACGGCGGTGGGCCGGGCGGTGACCAAGAAGCTTAGCGCGTCACGCACAAAGGCCACGAGTGCGACGGGTCCCGGTCCCCCAGCACCTGCCTGCAGCTCCACAGCAACACTGAGGCAGCCCACGAGCGCTATAGCCGGGGCACCGCGCACCTGAAGGGGAGGGACCCGGGTGTCAGGGGCAACAAGTGCGGGCACCTCCCACCCTCAGCCCCGGCCGCTGCGTCCCACCTTCATGGCGCGGATGGCCTCCCAGGCCTGGCGCACCGAGCCCACCCTCTCGTAGCGGCTCTGCTGGGGAAGCAGCAGTTGGTCGAGGATCTGCAGTGAGCCCCTCGAGTAGCGGATAGCTTCCAGCGGGGGCATTGTGCTACCAACTCACTCCTCGCTGTTCCGGAGAGCAGGGTACCACGCGCCGAGGGGCGGGGCCACCCGCGGAAGAAGGCGCGTGCGCACAACAGCGCCGCAGGTTCCCGGACCGCAGTCAGTGCGGATCCCACTATCTCCGGCAAAGGTCGGCAAGTTAGCCACCCCCTCGGAACCACAATGATGGCACCATTTACGAGGCACCTCCTGGATGCCCGGCCCTGTGTTCAGCGTCCGGTTGACGAGTTAGGTGTTCATAGCATGACTCCAAGTCCACGTGGGCACCTTCAGGTGCCTAACTTGTCCAGCCATCGTGAGTGCTGGTGGTCCTAATTGGGGATTTAAGGAACCAAACGGCTCTTATTGCTGCCCTGAGACCTTCCCATCCCCCTGGGGAGCAAAGGCTGGTGGGCTGGGGCGGCCGCTGAGGCCACGACGTCCAGATTACTTATTGAGGCGGAACCTCAGCCCCAGCAAGGTTGGGTGTTTTGTTCATCACCGTATCCGTGGTGGCTAGGACAGTGCCTGGCACACTGTATTTGCTCCTCAACATTTGTCAAATGATCTTCCTTTTCCACCGTTTAGGGGGAGGTGGCAGGCTGCGACTCTCCTGGTGTATGCACGGCTGTTTTTGGCCCTTTTCTGCTCAGTTTACCAGCTTCCTTCACAGGCAGCTACACGCTAGGGCCCGTTTTTGTGACCTAAGGAGCCCCCATGGGCCGGGGAAAATGAACAGCTTATACCTGCATGGACATCCCGTGTGTCCCCAGCTCTGGCCTCCCTGCTGCCTGGTCCCCTTTGCACCCTTCGCATTCAGCCTGTGCCACCTCCTCTGGGAAGTCTGCCCTGATTGCAGGCCAACCTGAGCCACAAGAAACCCTTCTCATATTGGGTGAGGATCATGGTTGTGATCACAGTTATAGCCCCAGCATCACCATTTGTTACGAGACCTGCCAAGCTTGGTTGGGTGGCAGGGTAGGGGAGAGGGCCCGTCTAGTAACCTAAGGCAGGGGCAAAGAAGCAGGCTTTAATTTGGGGGGTCCTACAAGGCACATACATCCTCTCTGGAACCAAATAAATAACAACTTCATGACGTGGGAAGGTGAGGTCTGGGGAGGGGGTAGTGTCTGAGCTCTTTGAGGGCTTGTGAGCGAGGGAGACTGTAGTCTGTGAGGGGCTTCCTGGAGTGGGTCCAGTCCCTGGAATCTTACTCACTCTGAGTCTGAGTAGTCAGCCACGAGGGAGGAGCTGAGGGTGCAGGGGTGTGGCATGTCCTGTGAAACAGATGCCTCCTGAGAGGAGCCAGCCGGAGAGCAGGGCCTGTCCTGACAGCTCCCATCCTGCTCCTGAGGCTCACTGGTTTTGGGGGTCTTGGCTATCTCCTGAAAGCAGTCTCGAGTGGATGTGGGCCTATCCTGGGTGGTGCCCTCTAACACCCATGGCTCCCCAGACTCAGCAGCATGCTGGGGGCTCTCTGAGACCTCTCGGGACTGCCTTCGCACGATGCCCAGATCCCCCCCGGTGATGGGGCTGCCGGCAGTCGCAGATCTGCGGTTCTGGGCCAGCTTCTTCAGGACAATGCCAGCTTTGCTGCTGCCGCTGCTGCTGCCAGGTCCTGAGGCAGAGGAGAACCAAGAGCGGCTGATGATCTCTGTCCGCTTGAGTTTCTGCTTGTCCTCATATGCTGGGGAGAGGGAGAAAGGGGAGGATGGAGGTCCAGAGCCAGCCTCTGCCTGGGTCTGCCATGGCCCACTCACAGCCAGGACTCCCCATGTCTCCCCACCCATGCCACCAGCCCCCACGCACAGTCCAGGGTGTGAAACTTGAGCAAGGCAGCCAGCTTGCGGTCGTCCTCTGTCTCAGGCACCAGCGGGATGGCCAGGCTCGCCTTAGCCTGCAGGGCCTGGTCCCTCTCCTCCTCCTCCTGCAGGGCTTTTTTCTTTTCCTGTTGGGGGACGGGATGGTGGGTGTTAAAGCCCTGCCTCTTCTGTGCCTGTTGACCCAGGGGGCATCACTCCAGATCTCCGGGTCTCAGTTTCCTCCTCTCTCAGGTCATGGGAGAAAAGGGCCTCACACATTGGTCAGGGCACAGAAGTTGCTTAACAAACGGGAGGTGCAATTGTCATTAATACATGTTCTTCACTCATTCATTCCACAAATATTTACAGAATACCCATTTTGTCCCAGGCCTTGTTCTAGACACTGGGGACACAGCAGAGGGCAGACAGACAAACACCCCTGCCTTCATGGAACTAACATTCTAGTGGGCAAGAGACAATAGTGGTAAGGAGAAAAAGAATGCTGGGAAGGGGGTAGGGAGTAGGCAGGGGGTTCAACTTTAAATGTGACTCGGGGTGGAGAGGAGGGTCAGGGACTGTATCTCTAAGAAAATTACACCTGAGAAACGACATCAGAGTGAGGGAGCCATGTGGGTATCTGGTGGTAGAGTATTCCAAGGTGGATGGAACAGCCTGTGCAAAGGCCCTGAGGCAGAAGTGTGCTTGGAGTGGTTGAGGAACAGTGAGGAGGCCAATGTGGCTGGAGCACAGTGAGCGCGAGGAAGGTGGAGCGGGTGCTGGGGAGGGGAAGGGGCAGATCATTTAGGCCTGCCTGGTGGGGACTTTGGCTTCTACTTTAAGTAAGTCTGAGAGCTAGGGAGGGTTCTGAGCAGAGGAGCAAGGTGATCTGACTCAGGTGTTCACAGAAGCCCCCAGGTGTTCACAGACTATGCGGGGTGGGAGGGTGGGAGCCTGGAGACCCGGTGGGAGGGACTGTGGTGCTCCATACAGAAGATGATGGGGGTGGTGGAAGTAGCAAGATACTAGGTATCATCTGAAGGTAGAGGCTGACAGAAGTGCTAACAGGAGATGGGGAAGGGGCCACCTCCAGGCATTGAGGACTCAGTACCTGGAAGGACAGATGCCTTCTTTTTCTGAGAAGTGGAGGATGTGGGCAGGGTTGGTTAGGAATTGAGGTGGTCTTGTTGGGTGTTATATTTGAGGGGCATTAGACATCTCACGTGGAGCTGCCCAGAAGGTAGGGGACACATAGCTCAGGGCACAGGCCTGGTTGAAGGGATACACTTTCAGTAACAAATAATTAGTAAGAAAAGGAGTAATTTCACTCCTAATAATGGTGACCATAGAATGATCAGAAAAAGAAACAGGAAGAGAGGGGAGCTGTAGGATGGTGAGAAAGCTTGCAGCCCCTGGGGTCGCCTGGGATGCTCCTGCCTGGGCTCTGTTAGCAGCGTCCAGGGGCACAGGCCGCCCCACAGAGAGAAGAGGGAGAAGGTTCTCATGTCCCACAGGACTTCACAGTGCCCTGCCAGACACTCACGCGGTGAGAAACCCATTGATATTACACCCATCTGAATCTGACTCCCTGTGACATAGCTCCACCAAGTATTTTTGGCACAACTTCAGAAGCCATTGTGGTCACTGACAGCAACAACCCTAGGAGTGTCCTTGAGCCAGGACCAAGCTGCAGGGCATACGAGTCGGCATTTGCACCTGTGCCCTCAGTGCCTCTTCACACAGGTGCAGGTGTCTTGCCCAAGCATGTACACATTGAAATACACATTATTACATTTTATCATAAATGACTTTCCCCTTTTTTTCTATCACAGGGCATAGCAGGGATGATTTTGGAAATTATTTGGGGGTGGATTGACAATCTATAAATTTCCTTTTGGGATAGCTGAATGGGCCCACAAAATGTGTTAGGAGTTGATCAGTAAATCAGTGCCCTGCTGGCCTTCCCCTGATATCCACGGCAGGGTCAGGCCTCAACCACTCGAGGATAGAGGCTCACCTTCCCTTTGAGACCTGCTGAAAGTGAAGGCTGGTCCCAAGGGAAGGGCTACATGCTAGATAATAGTCATTGGGCTAGGTGCCTCCCATGGGTACCGTGAGGTCCCCACAATACAGATGAGAAAACTGAGGCTCAGAGGGTGAAATGACATGCCTATAACTAAGATGTGATGAAGCGAGGGCTGGATCCGGGTCTTAACCTGCCATGCATTCTTGCCCTCCAATGTTGGTGACGCCAGGTGACCCCTAGGTCAGAGCCCACTCACCCGGAACTTTTTCCGCAGCATGCTGTTGAGGGCGAAGTCATCCTTCCAGGCGCTCTGGGCCTCCTGGATGTGGCTAAGGGTGGGGAGAGCCTTCTTGAGCGTGCTCCGGTCAGCCTCACCATGCTCCAGGCGGAACATGGCATCTGTCTCCAGCTTCTGCTTCTTCTCATGCTCTGCAAGGGTGAGAGCACGGCTGGGCCTTCGGGGCCCTGGCTCAGGCTCAGGGTCTGGGCCGGCTTCCCGGATGCCCACGGCGCTCACCTGTTGTCAGCACCTGCTCATTGTCTGCCATGTCCCAGCGCTCCTCCTTGCGCTGGGCACCACTCACGATCACATAGTCGCAATTGGCAGGATCTGTCTGCATCTCAATGTAGTTGACGCAGAGGTGGCATTTCATCCGGAACCTGGGTGGTAGGCAGGAATCAGGACACTGCGGACACCCCAGGCTACATTATGCCTGCTTCTTTCCACGTGTGTGTCATTTAAAAAGTGTTCACTGAGCACCTACTACGTGCCAGGTTCCATGCTTGGGGTTACAGCCATGGGTGAGACAGACAGGATCCCCTCATTCCAGAACTAACCTTCTGTCTGGAATTCATTCATTCATTCATTCGTTTGTTCATTCATTCACTCAACAAACCCTCCTGAACTAGGCTGCTCTGTGGCAGGTTTGGCACCAGCTGCTCAGGACACCGCAGTGTATCAAGCCAACCTGCTCTTGGAGGGACTAATGTTTTGGCAGGGGCCATGTTGGCAGCAAAGGCACAAGCAACCCATGTGCTGGCCACTTTAGAAATGGCCTAAGAGGCGGTGTTGGAGCAGAAACCCGAGGCGAGGGAGGGAGCCTTGCAGATGTCTGGGGAAGACTGAGTGTTCCAGGCGGAGGGCACAGAGGTGGGAGCCTCCCTGGGGTGAGTGAGGGACAGTGAGGAGGCTGGCTATGCAGCTGGGGCCGCGTGAATGAGGGGAAGAATGGAGAAGGTGAGGGCAGGGAGGGGAGAGACCCATGGGGAAGACTTAGGCTTTTACTCTGAGAAAGGTGGGAGCCATGGAGGGTTCTAGGCCGAGGGATGTGCCCTGATTGACAGACCAGGATGGTTTCCGGGGCAGGTCTGCAGGGAATGGCTATCAGGAAGAGGGTACAAGCTCCCCTCTCACTCAGACTCCTTTGTAGCCCATTTACCCTGTGGCCACCCATGTGTCCCTGAGACGCCTGCTAGGCTGCCTCTACCTGTAGATCGGGGTCGTGTAGTAATTGCCAACCTTCTTCTTTTCTGCATTGTAACGAACACCTGGGAAGAGAAGGAGAGGGTGGAGGCTCCGGCTCCGGCTCATACCACCCCAGTGTCTTTTCCCTGGGTGCGGGGGCAGATGGGGGTGGTATTCTGCTCCCCTGCAGGGGAGGCACCTAGGGAGGGCACTGAAATTCAAGGCGGGACAGAGCTGTGTTCTGGCTGTGTGACAGGTGCTCAAGCCACACAGAGGGTGGGTGGGAGCCAGAGGGCTTGGGTTGAAATTCTGACTCCACCAGCTGTGTGAGCTCAGGCCAGTAGCCTCACCCCTCTGGGCCTCAGTTTCACAATCTATGCAATAGGGATGACTATAATGCCTACTGCACAGGGTTGCTGTGAGAACCATAGGAGTTAATAATAAACATGATCGTTTAGAACAGGGCCTGGGTCAGCAAGCTTCCAAGAACCTTGAAATTTATTTGTTAGATTTATTGTTTTTCTAGAAAATGTTCGGGTTTTTTGTCATTTTGCTGGTTAAATGATATATATTCTTGACTGTCTGACCTTGCTTATCAGTTAAAAAGCTAAACTAGAAAAACAGAGCTTGGACTGGCAGGATACGTGGCCTGGCTTTTTTTTTTTTCCTTTCCTGGGTGGCTGCTTTCATTCACAGCCGTGAGGGTGACCAATGTGTGGTGTCAGGCCAAGCCCCATTTTTTTGTTCCCTGAGCACCTGATGGCCTTTGGGGGCAGATGCTCCTGGCTGGGTCTGATCAGGGGGATGTGACAGGGGTTTGCTTGTACTCCTAAGCAGTGGGATGGCCTGACCACCACTCCCTACATTTCCGAAGCTCTCATGGTAAGGACTGGACCACTCTGACCAAGAGATACTGGCTCCTGTTCACAAAGTGACCTGCTTTCCTGGCCCAGGCACTGTGCAAGGAGCTGAGGGAGGTACTGTGAAGATCACAGAGGAGCAAACAAAGTCAGGAGGTTTGAGTCACCTGCCTGAGGTCTCATCACTGCTGAGCATGGCCTTGGGTTCATGCCTGTCTATCTACCTGTGCACCTGTGGCATAGTCAGGGGTCCGAATGCTAATGGTAACAGTATAAGGACAGTGATACCGTGTTTCCCTGAAAATAAGACCTAGCCAGCGAATAAGCCATAGCATGATTCCTTCAGGACATGGAGGGCACGCACACACCCCTCACAGGCAGTTTTTATGACCTGTTTCAGGGAGAAGGGTGCCTTTTCCATAAACTCCTTCAGTTTAAAATATTCAGTATGCCAATGTGCCATATTTTGGCACCTAAAATCATGCTGCGGCTTATTTTCCGGCTAGGTCTTATTTTCGGGGAAACAGGGTAGCAGCAAATTTGGTTTATGAGCATGTGCTATATGCTAAGCACTTTGTACACACAGGTGGACATTCATAACATTTGAATTTTACAGATGTTTCTACTTAAAGTAGAAACCAAGGCACACATAAGCTCAGTCACTTGCCCAGGATCACCCAGCTAGGAAGTGAACCCAGAGCCCGGCCTGCTCACCGATCTGCAATGAGGTGTCCACAGCCTGCCAGTCATTTGGGCGCCATCTCCTCCCTGACTCCTGATTGGGAGCCCCTGGTAGAGACGCCACCTGAGGTTAAGGGGCTTCAATGTTTGTGGGACTGAATGGTAGGGAGGTGGGAGCAGGGGGTGGGTGGAAGCTTACCCATGCCAATATGGTTCTTGCAGCCGTCACACCAGATGTTATACGGCATCTCAAATCTACAAACAGAAAACAGCTTATCTGCCCCTATCCTATCCACTGGGCTCTCCCTTGGTCTCCACACCCGAAAATCCGGTTGCAACTGCACTGCAAAGGGCACACACACAGGGAGGATAAAGAACGGTGGGTGAATGTTCCTACGGCCAGGACTGTCCCAGCCTGCTGCTCTCTGGCCAGACTATCGAGTCCAGGGCGTCTCTGTGGGAGCTGCCGTGTCTTCCACGCCTCACTACAGCAGATGAACAGCTTGGAGTGGAGGGAGAAGCAGGCCATATGGGGCACTGGTATCCATTCAAGTTAGTCAAATGCTTGTACTGTCACTACATTTTTTTCACCGTTCTATGTGTGACATATGGTTCTGGTTTTCCATGAACAGCAGTGACAGAGCTTCCCTTTTAAAATAAAACCTTAAGTAATGAATAAAGAGGTGAATTAAAGGCACTGTACAGAGAAGGTGAGGGTTCAGCTACCAGAGTGGATGGGAGTGGCATGCACAGGTGAGCTTGGTCAGCTCTGGAGCATGGAAACAGGGAGGGAGTTTTGAGGTGACCTTCAGCCCTGTGCCTCTTGAGGCCCCAGCTGGGACTTGTATCTTGACTCCTTTTCCATAGATATTCCCGCCTCTGATGGTTTTGTCACTGGATCCTCTGCTCAGGTCCAGGGTGGACACCAGAGACCGAGGTCAAAGTTCAAGAGAAGGAAGTGAAGGGTTTGCCCTTCTGGGGACACACAGCTGGCTTCTGCTTCCTGTCACGGAACACTGGCCAGAAACAAGAGAACCCCAAGGGAAGGGCCACTGTCCTGGCTCAACAGCAGTAATGGCTGTGATTCTTTATCCTCCCCATATCCGTGCCCTTTGCAATGAGACTCTGCAGTGGTTCAGGAGTTGGTGTGTACTACCCTACTCCCTGCATTACGGCCCCTTTTGCAAAATCGATGGGACAGAGTGATGGTGTGCCAATTCTGGGTCTTGGCCTCAAGAGGCCTTATGCACCTCTGCTCACTCTCTTTTAGAACCTGACACTGTTATATGAATAAGCCCAGGCTAGCTGGCTGGAGGATGAGACACGTGGAATGGAGTCCAGTCATGCCAGCCAACACCATGCTGGACTAGCCAGTCCTCAGCCAGCCAATTCCCAAACATGTGAGAGAGCCTGGTCCAGGTCAGCCAAGCCTGGCTCAGCCCAGCAGAGGCATCCAGCTAAGCTACAGGCTGTGAGGAATAATACGTGCTTATCGTTTTGTTACATGGCAATGGCTGACTAAAACAGTGCCTTTCTGCGTTATGGATTTAAGACCCTGTAGCACTGGGCAAATCAAGGTGCTGAGTTCTCCTTGACATTGAGGTCAGGTGACACAAGGGACAGGCATCCTCCAGCCTTACCTGATGACGAGGATGCCCTGGGACAGCTTCCGAGCCCGTTCCCGGAGCGGGTGGCTGTTGTGGTACCGGTTGAGAGAGCCATGCTGTGCAGAAAGGAGGAGGGAGCCAGTTAGCACTCCTGAGCTGGGCAAGCTCATGCTCTCGCACAGGCTGAGAGAAGCCTCTTCTTATGACCTACCAGGAGTGTTAATGGAAAAATGAAAGGCACAGAGGACCTGATGAAGTCAGTGGGGTTGGACTCAGGAATACAGGAGATTGAATCTTTTCTCTCCCATTTAGGAGTTGAAAGAGCCACGTGATTCCGGGTAGTGACCTCACCTTTTGCCTTCCTGAGCCTCGGTTTCCCCTATCCGTCAGTCAACTGGATTGTAATTACCTCTAGGTGTTGTGGGAGAATTACGTGAGATGACAATATTGGCAAATGTTCACTGGCTATTTTATATGCATCATCTCATTTTAATCCCTCAACAATTCTGTGAGGACAGGTTGCTTGATTTTCTTTTTTTTTTTAAAAGATTTTTATTGGGAATTGGGGGATGGGAACAACGCTGGGGAATTGGGGGAAGGGGAACAGACAAGCTGCTGTCATTTTGCTCTTCAGTCTAGTTGTGGAGGACGTTGCTTCACTGGCCCAAGTTGGCACCATCATTGCGCTCTTCATGGGCAAGGCACACCAGTCGCCGGCCTCTGGATGGCCGCTCACTGCGGCTTGACGGCCGCTCACACTGGCCACTGGCTACACACGGTAGCCCATGGTAACCCACTGCCACAGGGGCTGCAGCCCACACCGTCGCCAGCAACCCATGGCAGCCCAGCTCCAGGTTGAGTTGTTGTTCAGCATCTTAGCTGTAGAGGGCAGTGTCACTGGCCCTCACATGTGGGATCCGAACTGGGGTCCTCTGGCGTCCCAAGCCAGTTCCCAACTATCGTGCCACTCGGCCGGCCCTTGATTTCCTTTTGACATATGGGGAAATTGGCATAGAGAGGCTGAGTCATGTGCCCAGGGTCACATAGCCAAGATGCACTGATTCAATCAGCGGGCCTTTCTGAGCGTCCAGTGTGGGGACACAGCTGTGAACAAGACAGATGAACATCCCTGCCCTAGTGGAGTGTATGTTCTAATGGGGGGAGAAGGGAAATACCCACATGAATGGATAATGCGTCATGGAATTATAAGGGCTATGAAGAGCAATAAAGCACTAGGTGATGAGATAGAGAACGAGACAATGGTCAGGGAGGCCCTTCCCTAAAGGGAGGGAAGGAGCCTTACGGTGAAAAGGAGGAACAGGTTCCAGGCAGAGGACACAGCAGAGGGTATGAGGCGGCCAGAGAAGCTGGAGCTGGGACAGTGAGGGGATCTGACCTAGATCCCGAGCTCTGCTAGAAACACATCAAGCTGGGCAGTGTATAAGGTCACTGATGACAGCCACATTTACTACTGGGAATGAAGACTGCCCCAAGACTCATGTGACAAGCACAAGGCAGGGAGACGTTAGGGTCGCCCATGCTTCTGCAGCATGGCTCCAACTTCAGGAGGGAACAAGGTGCCTATGGCCCCTGCTCTGTGGCATCTCTTTGTTACCGTGGACATAGAGAAGAAAGCCTGCCCCTTACCTTTTCAGGGTTGAAATCCGGAGGGTAGTACTTGTTTACACCTTTTCTTTCACCCTGGAAAGCAAAAGAAAGATGTGACTCAGAGAAGACTCCACAGGAGATCTAGTCACCTCAAGGACCTGGATGGGGAAGACTGAGGGACATCATAGAGAATGGCCCTGGGCTCCATGTCTGATCGGGGATTGGTGAACTGGGAGAAAAACCCACTGTCATTGCCATGGAAAACTGCACGAGGGTTCGACTCTCCTAGAGCAATGGCATTCAGGTTTTTTTGGACCATGACTTACAGGAGAACATATTTAACATGGCAACCATGTAAATATACCCGTACTATAGCTGAGGCACAGGTTTCATGAAACAACGCTTACTTTGGCTGGGGAGTCTCTCTTTTTAAATGCTGGCAGCCAGTTGCTGAGTTGACTGAACGACTCACCAAAGCAGTGGGTCTCACATTACAACCACCTAGGGAATTTCTAAAATACTGATAACTGGGATCCACCCCCAGAAAACTCCTGACAGAGGACCTGCTCTGGGGGGGTGGAGCCTGGACCCTGGGCTTTTAAAAAGTAACTTGGAAAACATGTGTTGTTTAAACAAATCCTTGTACACGCATGTTCATAGCGGCATTATTCACAACAGCCAAAAGGTGGAAACAACCCAAATGCCCATCAATGGATAAATGGATAAACAAAATGTGGTCCACCCAGACAATGACTTATTACTCAGCCCTTAAAAAAATGAAGGTCTTACACATGCCACAGTGTGGATGAAAAGGAGGAAGACATTGTTAAGTGAAAAAAAACCAAACATAAAAGGTACATTGTGTATGATTCCATTTATATGAAATGTCGCCAACAGACAAATCCACAGAGACAGGAAACAGATTGGCTAGGAGCTGGAGGAGGGGGAATGGGGAGCGATTGCTAATGGGGATGGGGTTTCCTTTAGGGGTGATGGAAGTGTTTTGGAACTAAATAGAGGTGATGGTTGCACAACATTATGAGTATGCTAAATGCCACAGAATCATACACTTTAAAATGGTTAATTTTATGTTATGTGAATTTCATCTCATTAAAAAAATCAAAAAAAGAAAAAAAGCTTCCTGGGTGATATTAGCACATAGCCAAGTCTGAGAACCACTGCACCAAAAGGTCATAAATTCAGAGTTTGAAAATACCATCTTAGAGCTCGGAGAAGGGGTGGGGACTGTAGGGGACGAAGGGGCCATTGGAAGTGGTCCGATGAAGACCAGAAGAGAACCCCAAGGAACATAAGTCAGTCTACTCACCATCTTGGGAGCCGCCTACTGGTCCTCACCCTCAACGTGGCCAATCTGAAAAGACGACAAGGCACTGATACTGATTATGCTGTGTCAACCCACTGCCCAGTCCCACCCACCTGGGGAGCCTGGCGGAGGGTCCATGGCTTCCCTGTGAAGATGATACAGTCTGGGTGTGGTGGTGGCAACTCAGATGAGCCTCTCTCAGGTGTAGAAGGCACTCAAAGAGCAACGTTTGTCTGTTTAGAGTGTGTGCTGTCCACTCTCCAACACATATTGACAGTTGACACTTCTCTCCCCTCCAGGGCCCCATCACTGCTCACCTGGACCAGGGCAGTTGCCTTCCTCTGGTCTCCTGGCTCTGTCCTTGACTCCCAAGGTCTGTTCTCCTTACAGGGACCAGGAGACTCTCCTAAAAAATAAATCTGAAAGATTGCTCTCCTGCTTAAACCCCTCCAGTGATTCCCATTGCTTTGAGTATCATATAAAACCCCTCCCTATGGCCAATGGGGCTTGGGTCCCTGCCTGCCTTTCCGAGCTCACCTCTCACCCCTCTTCCTTGTGCTTACTCTATTCCAGTCACAATGGCTTCCTGGCTGCCTTCAGAGACTCAGTAGGTACAGGCCAACTGCCTTGAATGCTCCTCCACCAGCTGTGTGTTCTTTGTCACAGGTCTCAGCTCAAACATTACCTTTGTCCAAGGCCTCGTCCGACCACCTGATCCAAAGTCACCTATCCCTGGAATTCCTATCACATCACCCTTTGTCTGTTTGTCTAGAGCCTGTCTCCTCTGCCAGCTCTCACCTTGCTGTTATCTCCAGCCCTGAGGACAGTGCCTGGTCACTGATAAAAGCTGATGGATGAACCACTGGTACCTGATTTGAGTTTCCATAAGAATCAGTGCGGGTGACACAGGCATCAAATGCAGGGGCTCCTTAAATTGGGGGTGGTACACCCCCTGCATGTTTGGAGGAGACTTGTAGGTCATATTAAAAGAAGTTCTACTTTACTCTAAAGAGACACACTATGAGGAGCTGAAGAGTACTCTAGAATGAGGATTGTCAATTTTCTGTTAAAGAACATATAGTAAACACTCCTGGCTTTGTGGGCCAGACTCTCTCTGTCCCAACAACTCAACTCTGCTCATCATAGCTAGAAAGCAGCTATAGACACTATGTAAATGAATGGGTGTGGCTGCACTCCCAATAAAACTTTAGGGACACTGTAATTTGCATGATTTCACAATTGTTACCTGTCACAAAATATTATTCTCCTTTTCATTTTCCCCCAATCATTTAAGACATTAATACCACTCTTAGCTGCCAGCCTGTACAAAATTAGGTGGTGGGCTGGTTTTGGCCTGTGAGTAGTCTGCCGGCTCCCTGTGCTAGTCAGGAAGCTTTGTCTACTTGTTTCTGCCAATTTAGCTGTGTGCTCGCTAACGGTTACTGTCAGGTGCTGCATGAGACATCATTGCCTCATTTACTCTGTATTCTGTCCCTATTTTCTCCAGTTGTTATGGGGGTTTAAGTAACTTGCCCAGGGTCAGAAGCTGATGGGGAGGCAGAGCGGAGGAACAGGTGCACTTGTGAACTATTCTGCTTTCGCCTGAATCTCTCTCCATTTTGGGTCCTCCATTTGTAAAGCGGGCCCTGGACCAGATTTTCCTAAGGTCCCTTCCAACCTAAAAATGCTTTTGCCAACAAAATAGCTAAATGCCCACCCAGGCTTTGAGGTCACAGCTCCCTAGGCTTGAATCCCAACTTTACTTCTCACTCACTGGGTGACCCTGGCCAGTGTCTGAGCTTCCCTAAATTCGTATTTCCTGGAAAGAGTAGATGAAGGCGACAGGACTGACTTTCTGGGGTTGCTGTGGATGAAATAACACACTGGGAAGTGTTTGCACAAAGGACTCCGTTTACAGGGGCTTGGGGTCCTAACATGGCTTTACCACCCTAGCTGAGAGTCTAGGGTGGATGTAATTGAAATCTCTGGTCCTTGGTGTCAAGAGTAATTATAGACTGCATTTGCCCAGGACATACTCATTGGACTCGGATCCCGACTCTGCTTCTTGCTAGTGGCTTGACTTTTGGCAAGTTGCTTCCTCTCTCTGGGCCTCAGTTTCCTCATCTATAAAATGGGAGTTACACAAGTATCAACCTGATAAGGTTGCTGTTAAAGATTCAATGAGTTGAATAAAGTTCTCAGAGCAGCGGCTGACACCGAGATAAACGGTAGTTTTGATTAGTTCTCATGTCTATCGTTTTACAAGGGTCATTTTACAAAATCTTCACCACAACCCAGTGAGGAAAATCGAGGGGCCCTACAAGTATAGTAAGGGCCAGGGCTGAGTTTGGGTCACCGCCGGAGCGGGGGTCGCGATTGGGATCTGGGCCGGCTCCGGACATCCGGCTCGCGACCGCACAGCCCCGCGACCTTTGACGCGCTAGTCCCCGTCAGACGGCTCCGAGGTCGGGTAAGGTAGCGGCCTGAAACCCAGGCCTCCCGGGCCTGCCGGCCCCTCCGCCAGCCCGCACTTACCTGGCCTACTTCTGACGTCACGCCGCGCCCGAGTCGGGAAGTGAGAGTTGGGAGCGCAAGGGGGCGTGGCGCACTCCCCGCGTGACGGAGACGCCTGCGCGAGGCGGGGCGAGGCGGGAGCGCCACGTTGATTGGCTGATTGCCTCACACGCCGCACAAAGTGGACCAATCCAGGCCTGCTCCTTCCAACCGCGTGCACGTCAGGATGCCCCACCTCTGGCCCCTCCCACTCTGACTGGCCCAATCAGAGACTGGCCTCCCTGTAGGCGACCTCCCCGGAACGCGATCTCGCCCCCTAGAAACCATAGTAGAGTAAGAGTGGTGGGCAAATTCTTGCCTCCGCGGGCCAAACCAAACCAGCCCCAGAACGGGTAACAAGCTAAAATTGTTTTTGCATTTGTAAATGTTTGGGGGGAAAAAAATCAAAAGAATAAGTTTTTAATGACTTGTGAAAATAATATAGTTCAAATTTTAATGCCCATAAATAAAATTTTATTGGAACACAGCTAAGGCCATTTATTTATTTATTTTTAGTTTTTAAAAAATTTTTTTAGATTTTTTTTTTACCTGGGAATTGGGGAAGGGGAACAGTGTGTTTTTCCAGGACCCATCAGTTCAAAGTCAAGTTGTTGTCCTTCAATCTTAGTTGTGGAGGGCACAAGCTCAGCTCTAAGTCCAGTCACCGCTTTCAATCTAGTTGGGGGGTGGGGAGTGCAGCCCACCATTCCATGCAGGAGTCGAACGGCACCTTTGTTGTTAAGAGCACGTGCTCTAACTAACTGAGCCACCTGGCTGGTCCTTGAATTTACTTTTATGCCTTTGTAGGGCCTAACAGAATCTGTTCATTTGTTCATTCAACAGCTGTTTGTTAGGTGCCTGCTATATGCCAGGCCACAGGGATTTGAGAGTAAAATACACACCCTTTTCTCATTGAGAAGACAGACATATCAATTGGCAATTTATCAAGGGCAGTGTGAGAAATGATGACAATAGTACTACTACTACTATATTTTTTGGTACCAGGCTCTGTTCTAAAGCTCTTGCAAGTCAGTTCTCATGTAATTATGGTGCTGCATATTGAGTGCTCACGATTCACCAGGGGTCATTCATCAGTGTTCACTACACACTTACATGTTTTATCTCAGAGAATACTGCTCCTAAGAGATGGATACACTAGCATTCCCATTTTGCAGATGATGAGACAAGCCCAGAAAAATTAAGTAACTGACCCAAGGTCACACAGCTAGTGAGGGGTGGAGGATTTGACCACTATCTGCTGATGCTAAACCTGTTCTGTTAACCTCTGAGCTGTACTGCTTTGGGTTGTGTGCTGTGGTGGGCATAAGGGCTGTGGTGGGCACCCAGAGGAATCATTAACAAGGAGGGGGGGGTGTTTGGGAGTGGGAAGGAGTGAGGGTCAGCAAGATCCCTGTGAAGGATGACCCTTGAGCTGAATGAGGCAAAGCAAGGCAAAGGAAGTGGGGAAGGGCAGAGGCACTCACAGATCCTGAGGAACAAGATGGAGCTGCGTTCAGCCCCAGTAATCTTGCTTGCAGCAGCTGGATTTTGCTTGAGTCCTTGTCTTGCACCTGAATGAGCAGATAGTGACTGAAAAGCCACAAAATGTCACTTGTGAATGGTATTTTGGAGAAGGGAAGTGTAAGAACCCCTGGCTTTCAAGAGATGTTTAGAGCCTCACTGTTCTCACACACAGGGCAGGTAATAGCACTGAAACATCAGCTTGGGATATGAAGAGACCATTCTATAATGATACCAAATGCTGGCCAGTTCCTGTGGGGCTAAGGGAACTGACTTAGGGAAAGGAGGGCAATTAGCCAGCCTGGGCAGTGTGGCAGGAAGTGACCTGCATTCTAGCTCTGGAGACCCTGACCAAGTCACCTCACCTCTGTTTGCTCATCTGTAAAGTGGGATATCTCAGCTCTGCCCATGGGAAAAAAAATGCAATAAATGCCTACAAATATATTTGTAAAACATTTTAAATAAGAAACTGTGGGCTGGGAAGGGCATTCCGAGATCATGGTGCAGCTTTTGGGACAAGAGAATGACAGAAGAGGAGGTAGGCTTTAAGCATCAGGAAGTTCTTTTTTTTTTTTTTAAGCAAATAGTTTTATTTTATTTATTTATTTTTTTCTTTTTAGATTTTTATTGGGGAATTGGGGGGATGGAAACAGTGCTGGGGAATTGGGGGAAGGGGAACAGACAACTTGCTGTCCTTTTGTTCTTCAGTCTAGTTGTGGAGGACGTTGCTTCACTGGCCCAAGTTGGCACCATCATTGTGCTCTTCCCGGGCGAGGCA